AGAAAGTCAGACACGTGTGAAGACCTTTAAATGTACTCACATTTTGTTCGGTATCTTTCATAGCTTCATATTAAAGATCAAATTATTAATTCATGTTTAAAACAGTAAATCATCTCTCTTTGAATAAGTGAAATAGTTACGCCTGAATCATTGTACAATCTTATTTTCTGCTGCACAAACGTTTGAGTTACTCTCTGCTTTTTGTGTTTGTCTTCATCAGAAATTTGGAGACCTGTCGGTGAGGCAGATCGAGAAACTTCGCTGTAGACACAGAATCCAAGTTCTGCAGGCTCACGAAGACACCATCAAAGAAAACACTGTGAGCAGAGTCTGAAGATGTCGTCTGAGAGCCGGACTTTAAGCATCCTGAACCTTTGCTACATTTTCAACTTTGTATTCCTCCTCTTAAACCTCCATCTGTGTGTGTTTGTGTGTGTGCAGCTCAGACTGGTCATTCCAGATGTTTCTATCTCTCCAGAGAACTTGACTGATGTCTACGACCTCTTCAAGGTATCTATTATTTCCCTCTTTTTTTTTAGTGTACCAATTTCTTTTATCCTCAGATGTTTCTGCTGTGTGTGGAGAAGCCTGAAGCAGACGTGCATCCATACATTTTATTCACTCTGTTTTCTGATCATTACCGGTCGTTTTCCTTGAGCTCGACTTATTACCTCGTATCCCAGGAGTGCCAAAGCACTAAATTCTGGCCAGTGCATTGTGCCGTTTTAATATCATTTTAAAATGTTTAAAAGTCTAACCATATTTCCTCCTATCATTTCTCCCACCTCCCTTCCTGGGCTTCATTCCTGCAGACGGAGCACTTCATCAGTCTGTACTGGGGGGACAGCAGCTCTGCAGCAGCGGCGGAGGCGGCTGCATGGCGTTACACTGACTCAAGTCGCTCCTTCATCGAGCGTCAGTACCGGCTGGACCGGCCGCAGTTTAAGAGTCTGTACGGGCTGCTGGCGCCGTGGCCCGGGGTTGAGAACCAGCATGCCGACACGCTGGCCAACCGCACCTTCACCCTGCTGGACCAGAACCAAGACAACCTGGTCACGTTTAGGGAGTTTTCCAGCTGGCTGGGTAAGCACAGTAAAGGGATGATTTTAAGGTCACTGTAAGTATGAGCTCTCTTTAAGAAGTTTTATAACTTCTCCACTAACAAGTGGCATTAATCCCAGATCCAGAATTTAAAGCATTTTAATCTTGTCAAAAAAAAAGAAACCTTAATTCTGCACTTCAGCTCCACTCTGCTTTGCAACTGAATTACCTTTCTAGGATTCTTAAAGTCGTCTGAAAAAACAAATGCTTTAAAAATCCAAAGAACCTTGAGCTGAGATTCTATGTTGGTAAAAATGCTAAAAAACAAAACAAAACTCTGAAAAGTCTGAGACCGACAGTCTGTTATTGATAGATGAATATTTAATCATTTCACTTCAGTGGTTACTGCTGAAATGTATTTAGCAGCCATAATTATAGATGAAATGTTTTTTCAGCCCTTCTGTGTCGTGATCGTTTGAGGTGGACTCAGCAGAGAGCCTTGCTTTGATTTGACCTGTTTGTTCCTTTCAGACACTTTGTACTGTGAAGAGCTGAATGAGAAAATCCGGTTATTGTATCGTCTGCACATCCCACCAGGTTAGTCCTCACGTTTACATTATGTTGACGGTGAAAGTCAGAAAAGTTTCACGCTGAATATAGGTGTGAGCAACTTGACTGTGTGTGCGCCTGCAGCTCTGACAGAAAGTGAGGACGACCCCTCTCTGATGAAGAGCCCCCTGGTGTCCACAAACAGACCTCTCTATGTGAACCTGCCCGATGGTCAGTCATGACTCACTCTTATTCTGAAGACTCCAACAAATCAGATTAAACGGTGAACTGTTGAAGTCTGACTGTTTGTGCTGCTGGTGTGTTTGCAGATGTTGAAGAAGAAGTGAAGGACTATCACAAGCAGCTGAAGCAGATGCTGCAGGATTTGGTGAAAGAGAAGGAGAGAGATGTGGAGAAGCCTCTGCCTCTCATGAACCAGGTACTGGGAACGTGTTGTACTGCATGGTGTAATTCACTGCTTCTTTAATATTTCTTTTTATCAGCTAACACATTTATTTTCTTTACTCTTTCAACGATTAAATAAAAGTGATAAAGAACGACAATAATCCAGCCAATCTTATTTTCATTTTTCCCCTCCTGGTTACACAGATTAAATATTTCAAGGTATATCTTAAGGATTTTCCTGACATGACAATTATTTAAAACTTGTTCTTGAGTAAAAGGATGACCTGATTTTATTTAAATGAACTGCCTCTTATGGCATCTGTACTAAAATGAAGCACCTGATATACACAGTGTACCAAAATATCGCTTGGATCGCTTGAGAAGAATTTTGTTTGTTCAAAATCAAACCATGGAAGGGACATACAAGAGCTGAAATGATGCATTTAGAATAGTTAAGTTAATTGAGAAAAAACTTTGATTAGCTACCATTTCTATAATTGTTAGAGAGGTTAAAGATTTGCTGCGTACTTGTGATATAATCTGGCTTCATTTTCTCCTCACACAGCGGGAGTTCATCCAGTTCTGTAAAACGCTCTACAGCATGTTCCACGGGGCCCCCGAGGAGAACGACCTCTTCCAGGCCATCGCTACGGTAACCAGTTTGGTGCTGCAGATCGGAGAGGCGGGGCATCGTGCGCACGGCTCATCTTCAGAGGTCCCAGAAGCTGAACCCGCACAGGAGTCCGCTGGGGATGCGGGTAACGTAAAGACGGCAGAAAAGGACTGGACGATCAGCTTCGCTCAGATCCTGGCGTCTCTGCTGACCGAGCAGGCGCTGGTGAACTTCTTCGAGAAGCCGGTGGATCTGACTGTGAAAATCGCCGAAGCTAAAGAGAAGCAGTATCACCAGCGGGCCGGTCTGCTCTCTCTGCAGCAAGGGAACAGATGACTGAAGAGTGACACGGCCAGATTTCATATGAAGACAACAACAATATCAGGATCATTTGACAAAATGTGACAAGATGCAGCAGCTTCAATTTCAGAAGCTCAACAGCCTGAATCATCCATGACATTTACTTACAGATAGTGACACTGATGCAGGAAAAAAAAACTCCTGCAACCCCTGAACCACCGCCTGTAACTGAAAACAGAAATATGATCTCCAAGCCTCAGCAGCAGGTTGTGTACCGGTCGACTCGCTGGTATCAGTAGGAGCATCAACATGTGTGACTTTGTGCTAAAGGCCTGAAGAAATGCTGCACAAAAAGGATAAATATCGCCTTTTGACATCACCATGACGATGCCCGTGGTTTAAGTCACGGCACCTTCAAATCAGGAATCCATTATGAAACATTAACGACTGTTCATAAGGTCAATAAAACAAATCATTAACGCTTTATAAATCAGCTAAAAGCCTTCATTTGATTAACTTTTAAGTTGCCAGGTTGTGAAACATCTTTAATGAGACATTCCTCGTTAACGTTCATGAATAAGTCACTCTTATTTTATTAATAAAGATAAACTATGTCATAGGCCATGAGGTCTAATATAAATGTATTTACACATATCCCTTGTGTATTAAGTCAAAAACCAAAGTTTGATCTCTAATTAATGATGTAAATAAATTCATAATTCAAGTTTTATAATTTTCTGACAAAGTGTAAATGTTCAGAATCTTGTAAATAAGTTGATTTTGTTCCAGATTCTTTCTTTTAACTACCCGGTGATTTTCCCAACCTGGCTTCATGCTTCTTCTTTTTAAAGTTATGACTTCATTTTTGAATGACGGAGTAGTGATAAAGTAAATTAAGTAACACTTCATGTTAGTCTCTTTATGAAGGGCAGTCTGATTAGGAAGCCATTGCAGAACCGTGCAGAAGTAAGGACAGACCTATTGCATGCATTCAGTGTTTTGTTTTTCATTTTATACCTTCTGTATCATTTTACATTTTTCACACAAACACACACCTCAAAATAAATATTTTTTAAACTTTTTTTAAATAACTGGTAACTGTTCTGAAAAACCTGCACAATGTAGCAAACACAGGAAACCGCAGCTGGAATGGTCTGTTTGAATAAAAAAGTGTTGCTTAAACACACTGATGCTTTCTTCTTTGATTTAATGTTTGAGTCTTTGGAGCACATTTCTGTTTATGAATGAGCGAGAGCTTCTGGGACATACTGCAGGTTTTATACTTTTTCAGTGGATAGAGTCAGAAACTGTGAAGAGAGAGAGAGTGGGGATTGACATGAGGGAAAGGAGCCAGGCGTCGGATTTGAACCGGGTCCGCCTGCTTCAAGGACTACAGCCTCTCTACAAACGCGCAAAACGAACCACCAGCGCCACTAAACATGTCATTTGAAAAAAAGATGAATGCAGTGCTTATCTATTTCCTCCCATTTCTCATGGGCTGATGAATCCATAGATAACAAGAAAAAGTCTGGGATCTCATGTAAGAGATCTCATGATGCTGATACGAATAAAACACAGATGTGTCTTGGGGTAGTCGCGTCACATGGCCTCCAAAAATCATGATATTTTCAAAAACTAACGTGATTTTGAAAGTAGCATTCCCTCAGTGCTTGGTCTGCACCCACCCACCCCCCCCCCCTCTGTGCTCCCTCAAAAGCCACGCCCCCTCACTTACATGCGCTTTGAGTGGGGTAGAGAAGTTTTTTCAGAGCACATGAGTTATTAATTTCCGTCAGGACCTAAAGACAGTTTCAACCAAAATCTTAAAAAGTGTAACAATATTCCCTATTTCTATTTGAACACATTAGAGTTCTTTTAAATTAATATTTCTTTAAACATGTTGTCACCGGTCTCTGACTCTCTGACTCTCTGACACGTCTTGTTTTTTTCTTTTTGATTGGGTTAATCTCTCCATGTGATTATTTCATAAATGTTCTTCAGTATGAACAACAACCCCTAATGGGTACAAAAGGACACAAACATGAGTTAGTATTGTTGACAAAGAGAAGAAGAAGAGCAGGAGGCAGAGAGCTGCAGGAGCTTGGTGTGCTTTATTAGCTACTGATTAAAGGTAGAGGACGTGACTCACTCCACGACCTACATAATCCGAAGACACATAACACACACACGGTTTATTAGAGGTGAGCCTTCATTATCGTGGAGGGAAGACTGAGGCTCAGCTGATACAACTCTTCAGGAGTGGTTTCATCACGGAGGAGGTACATGGTAACAGACTCCTTTATATGTTTCCTTATTTTATCATCCTTTTTTTCCCCTCCCTGTAGAATCCATTTGAAGGCGTAAGTATGAGCTGCAGCGACGGGAGCCTTATGCTATTTGATGAGAATTTGAACACAAGTATTTTTGTAATGTACACAATAATGGGCCAGGACGTTTGTTAGCGAGTCTTACTTTTCCTAGGTAGTGTGTTCAAACAATACACATAGTCTTTCTCTCATATAATCAGAAGTATGTATATGTGACATGTCAGGATGCGTATGTCACATCCACAGGTAACAGGAGCAGCAGCATATGAATGATAAGAGACCAAAACAGGAATAACAACACAATTCAAAAACAGACACAGAGCTAACAGGAAGCTACAAGCTACACATTGCACTAAGCCACAGTTGTGATCGATCAGTTTGCCTCGTGGATGTTGTCTCGCCCACTCTGGAGGGACGATGGGCGGGCTTTGTCTTTATATTGCTTCAACGTAGTTGGCTGGCAGCATGCCGGTCTTGCCGGTGCGCTGCACGGTACCGTACATCCAGCCCTCGTCGATGGCCTGCACGTTAACGATGACGTCGCCATCTTTGAAGGAAACCTCGTCTTGGTCGGCTGCTCCGTAGTCGTACATGGCACGCACAGTTTTCTGCACAGAGAGGTGGAACAGACTCAGTAACATGTATAAGCGGGATGTTTAAGAAAGCTTAGATGACAAGATTGCTGATATTTCGATTCAGGGTTATGTCAACAAATCCAACAAAAACAGCAAACACAGAACTAGAAAGATCTAACTTAGAAGTGTGTTTTAATCCAAGAAAATGTTATAGTTAAACTTCCTTTGTGACATTGAGCCGCTGTTATCATGATCACACTGCTATTTTTCCAGACTGCTTTTGTCTCAAACTCACAGTCCTGCTGCATGAAATATATTTTTCACTAAAGCAGTGGCACTTACAACTGAGGTCTTAAGCATTAAGAAGTTTATCATCACTTTATGACACCTATATGTAACATATAGCTGACTGTTTAGGTCGTCCGTTTCATTCACTTTCTAACAAAACATCCAAAATGTGACTTGAAAAAGTTTGACTTTTGTTTCGTTATTGTGTCTGTTATGTTACCATCTGAGTTTCCCCAACTGGCTTGTGCGGTGTGTATTTGTGAGTGTGTGTAATTTACTCCAGTGGTAGAGGGGTGGGAGGGGATGGAGGAGACGGTGGTCTGCTGGGTGGCCACTGATGATGACCTCTGCTGCAGCTCCACCGTCTTAGCAGTCTGGTAGCCTGCAGATAAAAAAAAAAAGAAATGGTAAATGGAGTTAAGCTTGTATATCGCTTTTCTAGTCTTCTGACTACTCAAAGCGCCTTTACACTGCAGGTCACACCGACACATTCACACACTGATGGCAGAGGCTGCTGGGGAAATTGTCCATCAGTGTTACATCAGTATCTAAACACATTAACACTGACAAAGCAGCAGGAGCAACTTGGGGTGAAGTGTCTTGCAAAAGGACACATCAACATGTGACAGCAGGAACAGGGAATTGAACCCCTAACCTTCCGGTTGTAAGACGACCGACTCTATAGCTGAGTCACAGCCGCCCAACATACACACATAAAACAGGAAAAATAAAGTTTAGGCATATATGTTTAACCTCACATATATAGAGTTTGGGAAAGCACTTTTAACATGCTTTTATTTGTTGTGGGGATTGTGGTTCATTACCTATAGAGGAGGTCATGAAGCCGTTGCTGTAGAGGGACATGTGGTGGTCGGCGTCCTGGGACACCTCAGACTTTTCATCACCCGGGCCGCTCAGGGCGCTGGTGGAGCGGGAGTGCTCCTTGCTGCGACGCTGAGCTTGAACTATCCAAACAAGAACAATTGAAATGGTTCATCATCACACGTCTACAAATCATTAAACAACATCAAAGACAGCAACAGAGAGTTAATGCAGCTTGTTGTTGTGAGAAGTGAAGCCAGAGGGAATTTAAAAAAAAAAATCTGCATTCTTTCTCATGGCCAGCAGGGGGCGACTTCGCTATGTAAGCAGATGAGAAAATGGGTACATCTCAGTTGATTCAGTAGTTAAGCAACCATTCTCCTAATGAGTGAAAGGACTCAGTCATGACCTCTAAATGTTCTTCAGCCTGATCATCATTTTATAAGTGATGGTCCCATTTATGGTCCAGGTGAAACATGGACAATAGGCGGTGAGAAGTGAGAATTTTCTACAAGGCCAATTGACATTTTTTTTTATATCTCACCTGACATCATGTGCAGACTCCTGGACTGGATGTTGTCTTCAGCAGGGTCGTAGTCAAACACAGAGCCGGGGTTTGTGCGCCACACACGCAGATCTGAGGACACAGAGTCAGAAAAGGCATCAGTCAAGTTTACCCCTTTGATGCATTAGATATACAATCGAAAACTAAAGATTTTCAATCTGTCCTGTAGGTTGTGATAGTGACAAAAAAGGTACCCTGTTGTTCATTAACATACATCCAAACCGTCCTGCACAAAACCTGGAAGTTAGCATCCATGCTGAAATGTTCAGTCTACTGAGGTAGACCCAAAAAATGCCTGAATGACAACGAGGGTTCAGTCTATTGAATACTGAACTGTGGCTTTTCAGAAAGGGCCCAAGTTCCGTGGGAAATATAATCATAGTCTAAATGTCTTGAGACATTAATGTCCACACCTTCATTTGCCCAGACATTAACAACCTCCACATGCATGAGAGTAATGACTGTGTGCATGCTTGTAAGTGTACCAGTGGTGGTCTCCTGGTCATGCTCGATGGCACGTCTCCTCTCCATCTCCACCACGCGTCTCTGGATGCCGCGGTAGTTGATGTCGCTGAAGTCCTGGGTGTTCTTCTTCACGCGTTCGGTCACCGGGTCAGAGGTGGTGGGAGTGAAGCTGCCCTTGTTCTTCTCGAAGTCCTCGTGGTATCTCACCTGGACAGCACAGGTAACAATCACAGTGAGTGCACGTGCAGTTAAAAAAAGGGCTGGAGATATATATATTTAACTCTGAGACTTCTAAAAGGAAATCATCTGTACTCGCTGAGTACTTTCTTAGATCAAGGAAAGACAATGCACATTTCCTGGGGTAATAATAAAACTTTGGGCACAAAAACATAATGAAACAATCGAAACTCTTACTCCAGAAATGATACGCTGGGTCTCCCTGACACGCCTCATCTCAGGTGTGTCCAGGACGAAGGAGGCCTTGCCCTGAACCTGCTTACGGAAACTGTCAGAGTACAGCACCTGGTGGAAAGTGAGGCCGGGTTGAAGGAGAAACAGAAGGCACACAGTGAGCATCCAGAAATGTTCCACACTTTAAAGCCATCATTTAGCAGCCGTTAGCATCCACAGCACAAAAGGTGGGGCTCAATGGTAAGAGGACACACACAGCTGCTGGCAGAAGGAGCTGGGATTATTGGGATTTCAGACAGATGAATTAGAGGGAAGGGTTTTCTATTTCTATTTCTATTAATATTAAGTATTAAATCAAACAAAATTACATCCCAATCTTCAGAGGAGAGTGAAGTGGAGTAATTTGAACAACAGGAGAGGTTAGCAGTGATGATACCACAGCTGGTGGTGTTAAAACATTTACAAGAAGGGAGCGCAGTGGGGAGAATTAATACAATTAACAAGATCTAGGGGAGAACTCAGTTAGGGGAGGGTTAACGAGGGGTACAGGTAGGAAGTCTCTCGTTCTGAAGGTACCGAGCTAATATTTTCTTGGTTCCTTTTGACTCGCTCCATCTCAGGAGTATACACCACAGGAGTTCCCTTGGCGGAACTGTCTTTATACAACACCTACAGGACAGAAGCACAGCACCCACAGGGGCCAGTCAGACTCATTGAACAATACTCAAACCAACACACCTATAGGACTGGTTTCAGAGACTCAGGTTAACCCAAACGCAGACATTTTCAGGGACATTTTCCAAGATTAAAATAATCTCAGAGAATCTCTCTCGTGTGTCATTTGTTGCTTCTGGGATCGATTTCGAGCAGTGTCTGAGAAATTGGTCCTATAGAGTGACTCATCCTCCTGTCAAACAAACCAGGATCTCAGATGTAGAAACACACATGTAGAAAAGAAATCACAATTGTCACACTTCAGCAGAAGATTTAGATTGTCATATGCTGGGAAGATGTAATTAATTTTGCAGCTGCTTTATTTGGAGAAAAAAAACAAAGCTTGACTGGAGGTTAAAAAGTAAAGAGGAAGGGGTTTAATTCAGCTTGAGGGGTTGATAGTTGAAGATTAAAGATGATTTGAAAAAGTCAGAAGAGAAAGTAAAAAAAAGAGGGAAAAGCGTGGATGAGATTAAAGGCGACGTTAGGGTCGAAGCGGTGATGATGGAGCTCAGGAGACTGCAGTCTGTGCCTTGGATGAGATGAGTGAGAGGTGATGAAGGGGGGGGGGGTGAGATGATGATGGCAGGAGGAAGGGGAAGAAGCAATTTGTAAAAGCTTATGATGGGCACTACTGTCCACTCTCAACAGTTAGGAGCACACTTGGTTCAGTTTGGTTCCACTACCGAGCTGATGTGCTTCTGGGTCTGTTTGACCCGCTGCACCTCGGGGAGGTCCGGTATAGCTGTGCTTCGAGCTGGAGAGTCCTTGTATTTTATCTACCCAACGGACGATTTGGGGTTTTGTGCAAGAGGAGGGAACAGGAAAGAGCAAGAAAATCAGAGACAATTTCAAAAAAGTCAGAGACACATCACAGCAACAAAAATCACTGCAAATATGAAACAGGTGTTTCCCTGAGAGATGAAGAAGCAGGTTAAGTTGACCCCTGAAGGGCTCATTTGGGTTATATCGGCATGGTGGGTTTGATGTGATAAGCATAAATCATTGGGACATCTCAGGAGGTGGTGAAGGCTCAGGAGAGTTATTATGACTGTCTATTTGGGTGGAATGGAGAGTGAGGGAAAAGGGGGCGGATGGAGGTGAGTGTACAGGATCACTCTGTGGAGTACCGTGCTAATATTCTGCTGATTGCGTTTAACTCGCTCCATCTCGGGCGTCTCTGATACGGACGTGCCTTGTCCCACTCCTGCTTTGTATTGAAGCTTTGAACAAGACAGTATCAAAAGTCAAATATCAAAGAAAAAAAAAAAAAACAACACCACTCAAGATGAGATTAATTTTTAGGAAAGGAGGAAATGTCAAAATGGGAAATTTTAATTTAAATACCCATGAATGGGGACAAATGTGGTTAATTTTAAACTGAGAAGGAAAGGAAAACACATAAATCAAAATGTAAAAATAAGGCAAACATTAAGACTAGTTAAGGGGGGATGGGGCATGGAGAAAAACTTTGATTTTGTTGAGGTTTGTTTTTCAAATAATTAAATTATAAACCAAAACTTATGACAGTGAGGATGGAGGAGAAAGAAAAACCTTGAAAGACAAAAGGTAAAGTTTTTAGAGTGAAGGAGGGAGGTCAGGGGGTGTTTTTTGTGGAGATGATTGTAAGGGGATAAATAATAATTTTTTTTTTTTCTTTTCCTATACCAAGCTGATATTCTTCTGTGTTTCTCGGACCCGCTTCATCTCGGGGGGGTCTGGTATGGCTGTGCCTTGACCCACAGACTCCTTGTACTGTTTCTGCACATTGCACAAGTCACACAGGTACAGAGTGAGACAGGGACAAACAAACACAGTGTTTACTGTAGACACAGACAGGTGCATCCATTCACAACAACAGCAAGTCAGAGCACCTGACAGAAACACACTATCATCACTCAGATTATCAAATACTTCAGAGGTAGTTTCGTCAGTTGGAGATGGTAAGGATTAAAATTGGATGATACTAGATTCAGTCTATTATTCAGGTTTTAGATGCATATAACTATCATGGGAGTGAAAAGTTCTAAAGAGCCCTCACATTCCCTGTAGATATATCAAATATCTGTTTTATTCTAAACTAGATGCCACGTAAAGTAAAAGTTTGGAATAGTTATGTAGCCTTGCTACCTTCAGCTCAGGTCTTTATGCTTCGGCCAATAGGCTTTTTCTATTTTTCTTGCAGAAGTGAAATTGGGCACAGAAGTTTCTCCATCTATACATCTCTGAAATATATTTGGGGCCATTATTGACTCAATAAAATCTTTTAAAAAGGGGAGAAAATGTGTATGGAAATAATCTGTTAAAAGTTGGATTTAAAATGGACATTTGAGGAGATGACATGTACACAGAGGTCTGGTTATCGTCCACTATAGAAAGTAGGAGGGGCGATGGAGGGTAGACTAGTTGGAGAGGAGATGAAGGAGGTTACAGGATCACTCTGTGGAGTACCGTGCTAATATTCTGCTGGTTGCGTTTAACTCTCTCCATCTCGGGGGTCTCTGATACGGACGTGCCTTGTCCCACTCCTGCTTTGTATTGATTCTTTGAATGAGACAAATAAAAGTAAAATACGGTCGTGACACACACATAATGCCAACATTTGAAAATACAAAATAAGAGAAAATGCAAATTAATTTAGGTGGGGAGGGGGGAGGGGATTATGTTTATGTGGAACACTAAAAAACATCCACAAAGGTATGTTAGGCTGGAGGAGGGGAAACAAGAACGAAACATAATGAAGGACTTTAAAATTAGCGGAGATTATCAGAGGGTGTTTTGGGAGATGTTTTTGAAGAGATGTAAAAGAGTCACCGCACAAAAATTGGTGAAAAATAAACGACTTATGAGCGTTAAGATGGAGGTGTAAAAATCAGAACTAATGTCTTGAGAGGAAGGAAGGTCAGGGGTTGTTTTTGGAGATGATTTTAAGGGGATAAAATAAGCAGATTTTTCTTTTCCTATACCAAGCTGATATTCTTCTGTGTTTCTCGGACCCGCTTCACCTCGGGGGGGTCTGGTATGGCTGTGCCTTGACCCACAGACTCCTTGTACTGATTCTGCACATTGCACAAGTCACACAGGTACAAAGTGAGACAGGGACAAACAAGCACACTGCTTCCTGTAGACACAGACAGGTGCATCCATTCACAACAACAACAACAACAACAACAACAACAACATCAACAACATACACTTAGGAACAACTAAAAAACAAACGATCATCACACAGATCATCAACCTTTCAGATTATTAAATATTTCAGTCGGGTGTCTTGTAAATGTAAACAGATGATACTTTAGTTCATTACTTCAGAGTTTGGATGTGATAAATATTATATGAGAATCCCACTGAGCCCTCAAAGTCTCAAAAAATGATGAAGATTGTAACCTGTGTGGATGATTTATTTTCAAGTGGACACGTGTCAGACTAAGCTACAACCTCGGGGTTTAAATATTGAGGCTAAAAACTGCAATTCCTCAAATGGCCACTTGAGGTAGAGGGTTTAAATTGATATAAAGCCTGCCTGTTTAAATTCCATGAATGCTCAGACAATGCATATAGATGCCAGTGTCACTAGCTGTCTGCTAGGTGTCACTAGCTGTCTGCTACATGTAGGCGCCACTAGCTGTCTGCTACATGTAGGCGCCACTAGCTGTCTGCTAGGTGTCACTGGCTGTCTGCTACATGTAGGCACCACTAGCTGTCTGCTAGGTGTCACTGGCTGTCTGCTACGCGCCACTAGCTGTCTGCTAGGTGTCACTGGCTGTCTGCTACATGTAGGCGCCACTAGCTGTCTGCTAGGTGTCACTGGCTGTCTGCTACATGTAGGCACCACTAGCTGTCTGCTAGGTGTCACTGGCTGTCTGCTACATGTAGGCGCCACTAGCTGTCTGCTAGGTGTCACTAGCTGTCTGCTACATGTAGGCGCCACTAGCTGTCTGCTACGCGCCACTAGCTGTCTGCTAGGTGTCACTGGCTGTCTGCTACGCACCACTAGCTGTCTGCTAGGTGTCACTAGCTGTCTGCTACGCGCCACTAGCTGTCTGCTAGGCGTCATTAGCTGTCTGCTAGGTGGTAGCTGTCTGCTAGGCGTCACTAGCTGTCTGCTACGCGCCACTAGCTGTCTGCTAGGTGTCACTAGCTGTCTGCTACGCGCCACTAGCTGTCTGCTAGGCGTCATTAGCTGTCTGCTAGGTGGTAGCTGTCTGCTAGGCGTCACTAGCTGTCTGCTACGCGCCACTAGCTGTCTGCTAGGCGTCATTAGCTGTCTGCTAGGTGGTAGCTGTCTGCTAGGTGGTAGCTGTCTGCTAGGCGTCATTAGCTGTCTGCTAGGTGGTAGCTGTCTGCTAGGCGTCACTAGCTGTCTGCTACGCGCCACTAGCTGTCTGCTAGGCGTCATTAGCTGTCTGCTAGGTGGTAGCTGTCTGCTAGGCGTCACTAGGCATCACTAGCTGTCTGATAGGCGCCACCTTAACTTATCATTAAACATAACCTCATGGTTATCCAGTTTCTTAACCAAATATTGATTATTTTTGGTTCCAAACAACAAAGTTGGTCAATTTTCCAAATTCAAAAAAATCAATGTGGCTGTATCTATTATTATAACAAAATCTATGCATATTACACAACTAAACCATATACTGTATATGACAACCCAACACGGGAGTCCACATTCTTTAGAATATGATGAAGGAAATAACTTTTACTTTGCAGAAAATGACATTGGACAAAGAAGGGATCTTTGTGGGCTCTGTTCAATCCTGAAATTAGTAGATTAATTTACTTATCAAACATAACATAAAATAAAAACATTGACATTTAAAGGGCCATTTGTTTTATGTGACATTTAAGGAGTCATCTGGTTAAAGTATGGATCTCTAGTCATGGAGGGAATATGGAGGGAAATCTGTCAGAGGAGGAGGTGAAGGAGGGCAGGGTGGTCACTCTGTGGAGTACCGTGCTAATGTTCCTCTGGTTGCGTTTAACTCTCTCCATCTCTGGAGTCTCTGGCAAAGCCGTTCCTTCTCCCAAATCATCTTTGTACGCAATCTTGACATGCAAGAGGAATGAAAGCAGCAACCAGTGGTTAACCTGACTGTACCAGTACCAAACTACACTTAAACATCTGTATTTGAAAGGACACAACAAAAAGACAGGACAACATTTGTTCTGTACACGACAAACAATAGTAAAACCAAAATATTCAACAACACACAAGCTCTGCGCTAACAAGTCTCAGTGTTACTCTACAGAACAAGGGTTAGTTGCATGAATTAAAATGCTGCAATTTTAAGATTAAAAAATGAAGGATAAAAAAATCAGTGTGGTCCAAAGAACTATGGGCTGCATATCAGGGTTTGTTATAGATGAGAAAAATCAAAAGATCAAAAAAAAAAAAAAAGTGTTATAAGAAACCATTAAGAAAACGTAATATGGAGTAGATACCAAGCTGAAATTCTTTGTATTCTCTTTAACACGAAGCATTTCAGGAGTGTTCTGTACTGAAGACACTTTGCCCTTTATGTTTTTATGGTCAATCTGGTATTGATGCTACAGAGAGAAAAACACAAAGTGCAGTTAAAATGTTTCACAATGTAACGAGATGTAAAAGATGAAGATGAAAATAAAACAGGTCCCTTAACGCTCCTCTAGGATTAGCTTGAGAGCTTTCACTTCTTTACTCACAAATAACTTACGAGGACAAAGACTGACACCAAACACTTAAATGACAACAGTTTCTTCTTGATTAGAGAACACCAGGCATTTACAGTAACTAGCTGTATAAAAGAACAAAGTATTGAAGGTAATACTTTACAGAAAAGCACAGAGAAAACAGACACCGGAAGAACTCTTAACATCAAGATGTAGCTCCGACATCTTCAAAAGTTTCTACAGTCTCAGACATGCCACAAATCAATTTATTTCCATACTTCATCATTTATATTTATTACTTACAGTGCTGAAGTTCTTCTGGTTCTCACGGACTCTCTGCATCTCTGGGGTGTCCAGAACTGGTACATAGTGAGACATGGTCTTCTCAGCCTCCTCTCTGTACTTTTTCTGTTCAACAAAAAACACAGCAGGGATTTGAATAAAATTTTGACCTAAGAGAGGCAATCAAAAGGGATACTCTACTAGTTAAAGCAGCCTCTCAGGATCAGAAATGTTTGAGTATTTTACCTGGCTGACAATGTTCCTCATCTGCTGAGCATGGATGATGTCAGGGGTGTCGATGACAGAGGTGTAGCTGGCCCTGTCCATCTCAGCGGTATGCTTGTACTTAGCCTAAGGAGCACAAAACTGTCAGTGAGCACACATTCTGACCAGAGAATAACTACAACTGTGTCTCATCCGATCAGCCCACACACTGTTAATAAAAATCACAAGATTCAGACCTGACTGAGGATGTCAGTAGCGTTCCTGGCCCTCATGAAGTCTGGGGTGTCCGTAGCCAAAGCCAACATTCCCTTGCCCTTAATCTCCAGCTCCATTGCCTTCTTGTACTCTCTCTGGAGATATTACAGGTGATAAAGTTCAACGTTAAAACTCTGTTCTGTGCAAACAGCAGTCACTTTGAATTACATAATTTCTACTCATTCATAGCAGGGGAGGCGTGGGCTGCAAAACCAAAAGTCCTGGGGGGATTGGTAGATAAAGAAGGTTAGAAGAAATTAGGACTTTTTAAAGAACAAATTGGAGACAAACTGTAATTGGTGTTAAGTTTCTTCTAACACTCAGAAAAGAAAAGAAAAGAAAAAAAAAGTTAAGCAACTTCTGTTAAATTTGTTAAAGTATTCAATATTTCAGTTGGTTTAGCATAAAAACCTTTTAGATCAGATTTGTGGTACCACTGTGCTGCGATCTTAAAATCAACCTCAGTAGCACTCTGGACCAAATATATAAATAAATGAATAAATAAAGAATCTGGAAACTGCAGCGCACAGTGTGATGGGTGCTTGACCACAGCATGAAGCATTTTACTAGGTTCTTCTGTGCTAAAGGTGGGATGGCTGCCTGTCTACTCTACACATGCTCTTAAATACAAAAGCAAACTGTACACCATCATCCATCCACCCACTTTCTTCCACTTATAAGAGGCCTGTTCGGGTGGGAGCAGGCTAAAAAGGTAAGACACCCTTCTCCCAAGCAATGTTTTTTCCAGCTCCTCCGGGGGACTCCAAGGCCTCCCTGTGCCAAAACCCCCTTGAACTAGCTACTTTGGATGTGAAGAATAACGACTCTCCTCTGATATCTCTCTGGATGCCCGAGCTCTCTACTCTATCTTTAAGCCTAAACTCAGCCACCGTTGGGAGGTAGCTCATTCTGCCACTTGTGTCTGTGATCTTATTCTTTAGGTCACTATGACACGTTTTTGACCATAGGTGACGGTTGGAACGTAGATCAGCTGGTAAAACAAAAGCTTTGCCTTCAGGCTTAGCTCCTTCTTTACCAAGACGACCCACTACAATGCTCACATTACTGCTGGTGGATGGATGGATGGATGGTAAACATCAAATAGAATGAGTTTTACCTCAAAAGAGAACAAATAAGGAAATGCTTGGACATGGTGTACATTTGAGGTTGACTTTTTGAGCATTTGTCAGATAGAAACGAACACACTTTTAATAGAAAATCAAAGGGAAAATCCAACAGGGTGTAGGGGTGAAGGTCAGGCTATAGTCACAAGAACTACATCAGAAAAGGAGAGAGCTGGAAAATTAGTGATGTCATCAAGCAGGGACAATTCAAACACAGCTGCCGCCCTTTTAGTGTGATCATGAAGCTTAGTAAAGGGGACAGGATTCAGCCGATGATGCACCAAGAGCGGGATTGTGAGAAGGCACTCTGTTGAGGCTGTGATGCTGTTTTCCATCACTTTCAGTCTGCCGTACCTCAGACAGGATATGAGTTGCATTCTTTGCTCTCAAAAGCTCCGGAGTTTCCTCCAGTACAGTGAGCCCTTTACCCTTCACTCCCTCTTCTAGATCCCTCCTGTACTCTCTCTACAGGACGGAAGAAGAACAAAGAGACTGCAGAGAAGGACGGGCACACAGGCAGGCCAAAGCATAAAAGACAAACAATACAGTGGACAAGTTCTGATGCTTGCTCCTTTAGAGCTCAAAGTCACCAAGTCACATTTTTAAAGAGAGAATGGAGACATTGGTGACTTTGGCAAGAATCCGGATAAAAGACAAGGAAAACGTCATTTTATCACAAAGAACATGAAACAAAAATACAAAACAACAAAATGATTCAAGACAACATTTCACAGTTAAAACATTGCTGCATCATTGAAATAATTGCATGCATGCATGCAGACTTGTTGTCCTGATAGCTTAATAGGAAATCTAAGATATCAGTGGAAAGAGATTTGAAAACAAACAACAAAATAATACTAATTAGTCTCCTAGTTTTAAAGAAGAGAAGGGAGATGGGTGAATGTCGGATCATTAATAGTTTATGGCTCTGTAGTGTGGTGAATCATGCAAAGGAAGAATAGTTTCACTGCATGTGTGGACTTAAAAGAAGTCAGGATAGAAGGAAAACCCAGGGGGTAAAAAAGTAGAGGAGGAAAGAAGGGATTGTGAGGTAAACTTAGTATTAGAGCCCGACCAATATTTTGATATACCGGTAACTGATACACACTGAACGTACAACTGAACACATATTTAGAGTCATCAGTGTTTATGTTTTGCGATGTGTGTGGAATGAAAACTTTTGTCGGAGCATGTTCTGCAGATAAAAATACTTAGGGTGATATAGTAATGGTTAAATATGTAGTTTCTCCACCAGAGGGCGCTCTGACTTCAAAGTTTACAACATTCTCAACACTGTGTGAAGCATGTGTGTACAACATTTTGTGTTTACTTGCACTGTATAACTTTTTTTTTTTTTTTAAAGTTAATTGTTAAAGAAGCTGCCTTCTCACTATGTGCATGGTCATACTGGGGCAGAAAATTGCATCGAAAATGTCTAGCACCCATCTAAAGATGTCACTGTATCAACCGCCACATCGGTAATCTGTGATTTTTTTCCAGTTAAAAAAAAATCAGTGATTGATCAGGCTCTATTTAGTATGGAATATAAATCAAGGGTGAGGTCAAAAGGGGGGGGGGGGTTGTCAGGTATAAACTATCCTTTACCTCACTGGCTATTTTGGTGGCATGTCTGACATGTATCATGGCAGGAGTGACCTCCAAGCCTGAGAGGTTCTTGCCCCTCATGTTCTCCTCAAAGTCCTTCTTATAGTCTTTCTATTCGCCGTAAAGATAAGAGACAGGGGACAGACAGACAGGGGACAGACAGAGCACATGTAACAACATGCAAGCAGCGCATATTCACAAAGCAGTTACCTTTTCCTGGTTGGCACCATAGTCTTTATTATGATGGCCATTTTTTGAATGTACAGTCTTTACAAGTTTTGTGCATGAGAGTGTTCAAAAAAAAATCAAAAAAGGGATTCAAAGGATTTCTTCAAACAGGGAAAATCAGATGAAAGTAGTGGAGCACACGATTCACTTACAGCTAATTTATTAAGGTGTAAAGGTGCTAACGTTTTGACCCACTGCATTCGACTCCCACCTAAATAAGTTTGCCGTGAGTGATTTGTGTTCATGGAGTTCTCGCCTGTGTGAAGGAGTCCATTGAATCATCTTTGACATATATTAGCTCCTTCTCTGAGAGCACTTGACCTCCATCTGAGGAGGGGCTGACACCCAAGAGTTTCCTTCTTCTGTGTTTGAAAAGTGTTGTAGTTTTGTTGGGGAAGGTAGTAATGTTTATAAGAAAAGTAAACACTGTAAAAGATATAATCTAGGCTCTGATGCTTATCAAAGGCTACACATGGAGAGAAAAAAATGTGAACCTGTCCTTTAAATATTTTATCTGGGCTCCATGGAAAATGTTGCATTCTGAGAGAAACATATACTTTACCTGTCTCCTCTCTGCAGCATGGGAGTAAGATAGAGTGGTCGGAACTTATTATATTCACAGTACCTGAGGTGCCCTTTTTTGAAACACATTTTACAATGCAGTCTACCAGGTTTTTTTTTAGGGTATAGCAAGGGAGTAATAATGTTTGAACTAGAACTCTTAAAAAAACTTACTGAGTAAACTGGCATTTCAGACACTGTAAAATGTGAAAAAACGTCAAATACATTTCTTAAGCAATAGCTGGACATCCACAAAGCTGAAGCATATCGATGTAAAGCAACAAGAATTAAAATACAATCTAGCAGGAACCGAAGAGTCTTCCGTCTGAGAGAGAAGCTTGTCATGGAAGGTGTTTAACGTTTGAAGCAGTTTTAAGCACAGAAGACGCAGACAGGGTGCTTACCTGGCTCTGCATGTGCTGGGCCTCCTTAGCAGTCACATATGTGGGTGTCTCGAAGTCCAGCATTGCCTTGCCCTTCTCCTTCTCATACTTCTCCTTGTATTTCACCTGGAACAGACCACATACATTCAATGTCAAATGTTTTATCTGGGTAGTTTGAAAAGCATTTAGAGCTATATTATCTTATATATAAACTACCATGACGTATCAGTGCATGTTGCATGTGTATTGATGTAGTGTGTTCACTTATGTCGTGTATTGTGAATTTCTGATATTGAAAGCATATTATTAACTTAATCAAACTGTACACATAAAAGCTAGAGGGACAAGAGATGAAAATCACAATTAGCTTCAAACTCATCGACACATTGGCTCCATAAAATGTACTGGAGCTGTTGAATTGTAACGTTAATATCAACATGTAGTTCACATTATATACTGGCGTCTATGTGTTTTAGAATGAAAAGGCTATCAAACAGAAACTCTAAGTCTAAGTTGTGTAATTGAACACCTCAGTGTTTCAATGTAAATGAGGATAGAATTCAAACATTTGCATCATCTTATAATGAAAATGTATTTTTTTTTAACAATACTGCAAAAGGGGGAACAGCAACACAGTAAATATAATTTGAAGCCTAATCTTTTAAAAAAAATTATTTTATGCCTTTCTTTGAGAGACAGGGGGCGTATGAACTAACCACTAGGCCACTGGCACCCCACTGAAGTTTAATCTAATTTTTTTTTTTTGAAAAATTTAATGGTGTAAATTTCTTTCCTGAAGAACATTTTTTAAGATTGAGAAATAATCTTATTTCAGTTGGAGCTTTTTGCCTTTGCTGAAAGCTGAAGAGAGACAGGAATGGTGGGGAGGAGAGAGAGGGAGAGACATACACAAAAGGGCTGAGGTTGGGAGTAAACCAGCTGCCGATGGGTCGAGGATTGGAGCCTCTGTAGATGAGGCGTCTGCTCTACCAACTGAGCCTTACCGGCGCCCCTTTAATAGATATTTTTTGGCATTTACTCACATTCCAGGAAAATGTTAAATATTGTATCATCACCTGATGTTGCCCCACAATTAAATAATTCACATATCAAAGCAAAACATTGCACAAACATTTGTTAGATAAGAAAGCGGTAAACAGCTGAAACCCACAGCAGTGTTTTTGTGTACATGGAGAGTGTTTTGACCCCCAGTGTTTGTACCACTTACGTTACTCTGAAGTTCAGTAGCCTCCTTGTGATGGATTTGTTCTGGTGTGTCAGCGATCATAAGGTAGTGACCCTTACTCTCCTCAAATTTCTTCTTGTAGCAGTACTATAGGGGAATTCCCAGTCAAGTAAGACAGCTCAGTACAGCACACAAGAATTAAAAAAAAAAAGCATATGTCGGGATTTAGCTACTCCCTTCAAGTACATAGTACAAAAAAGCTAAGATGTAAAATATTAACATTAGAATTGTAAAAAAAAAAAAAAAAAGATGGGATGAAAAAATTAGGGGAAAGTGAAAAATGGTTGTTAAAAACTTGTGAAAATTAAGATTTGGAATCAATGGAAAGGAAGGGAGTTTTGTTAAATGACTAGTTTTTAAGATCTATAAGAGGTGATAACTCAAACTGAGAGAGCATAGGAGTGGAGGTTACAGAGGGTGATAGTATGAGAAAGTCGAAAGCGTGATGGGTAAGGAGGGGAAGGGTCACCACCAGATGAGGTCGCAGAGTAATGGATTATGTAGTTTAGTGTTTAGTCCATAGGATGGTGAATAATCAGCAGGATGTTCAGTGTTACCATGGTAATGATTGATGATGGAAACTCATGAAGTCAGATACATTTCAATGAGCTGCAGAAGGACAGTTCACTGACATAGAAGCATGTGAGAGGTTTGAATATGATAATAATGTCTTACGCTGCTGGACAGCTTGCTGGTGCTCAGATTGTGCTGCATGGACAGAGACTCGGCCATGTCAGTCACAGGCTTGTGGATCTTCTTCAGGTCACCCTTGTACTTCACCTGCAGGTGGTGTTCATAGACACACTCGTAAACAGAAAATCCTTTGAATGCTGCCAAAAAAGTCCATTTATGTTTCTGATATCAATACATCTTTCCTCATAATGACGTTTTCTAGCATAGAAACAACATGTGAGAACTTACCTCACTAGCGAGCACGCTGGCATCCTTCAAAGTCTGATAAATCTTACTATCCTTCAGGTCATATTGTGGTTTCTTTCCTTTCATCTCCTTGTCAAACTTCTCCTTGTACTTCAACTGTTTGGATAGGATGCATGTGAAAGTTAGCACAAGCATTAGCATTGATAATATCAAAAATCAGTCGGAGGTTGACAGACTCCATCACACTGGAAACATTTAAAGGACAACACAGTGCTGTTTTTTGTCATGATGTATAAAAAGGGATCAGTAACTCAGACTGCTGACAGATCATTGGGTGGAGACGTTCGACATTCTGTATACTGTATGCTTTGTCATTTTATCACCTGTAGTTTAGTTTAAATCCCTTTTTATACATGAAACATAACTGCAGACGAACAAAGTTGTTGTCTGGGTTCACTGCACAGTTCTTCTAAAAGCACTCAAAACTAGTGACAAACAACATGTGGAAAATCCTGCAAGATGCTCTTCAAAATCTAGTTTGTGCCGGGATTGATGTCAGTTTCCACTTGGCATTAAAATGCATATTAAATTAGTCTCCTGTGATAATTTTTGTGACCCTGTGAAGACACTGCAATTTGTTTGAAGGTGATCTGAGATCAGCATTAAAACATGGTGATCATTTATATTATTAAATATATACGGTTGAGGCAGTGGTGATTCCAGGGTCTGTTGGGGCCCTAGGCAAGAGGCGCTTTCTACTGTCATTGCGAAATTTGCACATTTTGGGTTGCTGCTTTGGTCCAAAGTTTGTCAGCCCTCTGAGGCCCCCCTGCTGGCCTGGGGCCTCAAGCAGCTGCCTGCCCTGCCTGCTGACAAGCAGCGCCCCAGGGCTGAGGTGACAGACTATGAGGGTGGTCAGGGTAAAAGAAAGCCTAAGCTGTTTGTCAATCAGAAGATAACCTAGCTATAAAAAGTAAGGACGACAAAGCAATATCATTCTTGTACAAAAACATGTAAATCCAGCAGCAATAATAAAAAACTCATACCAACATTTAAAGTGTCAAAAATGTATAACTCTGCATGGTTTCCTGCTGGATTGACAAGTCATTTGGAGAAGCGTTCAAATGCATGCTTATTCATTTTACATTTCCACTGACTGAGTAAATAAGGAAAAGGTTAGAAAATGAGAAAAACTTTCAAACAAAACAAGTTAACAAGATTCATTAACAAACAGTTTTTACACCAGTGCAGTAATGCATCAATTGTCTGCCTGAGTCCAGCAATGAGCCAAAGCTTGTAGCGCAAACAATAGAGCAGAGGATGCATACAAGGTTTAACTTGAAGAGGCAAGGTTGCAGCCAAATCCAAATAAAAATTTTGTCAGATTTGATAAACTGAATAAATCTGATTTTTTTTCATCATCGTTTTACAGTTGTTTCAAGGAACCACTCAGTAAAATCAGATATCAATAGTTCAAATTAGACAGACATATATAGTAGTTGCAGCCCTCCGGTTTCAGGGCATGAGCCTCCTTACATCACTAGTCACGGCACTCATTTTCTTAATGTGGCGCATCTGGGGGGTATCATAGGAAGCTGCTCCATGGAGGGAGGGCTTGGCCTCCACCTACAAAGCGCAGTGAGATGGATGGATGAGAACACACAGACTTGGACATTATGGAAGGAGAGGAAATGGGGTGGGGGGGGGGGGGGGGAAGAGGTGAGGAATAAGGAGAGGAAAGTGGAGAATGACAGGCTGAGAAGACAGGATTAAGGATGGGGAGGGAACATGAATAATGATATGAGCAGTTAAACATGTAAATATATTTTCATGGCGTCATAATGACAGATTAAGGCGTGGATTATAATGCAGGATGGCAGAGAAAGCGCTATGGAAGAGCTGCTAGTAGTATCATTAGGCCTACTGGACCACTGCTAAGCGTCTACCAAAGCAGTCTGCAAATGTTAGCTCATGGAAGCTAATCTGATGGTGATGTCCGGGTCCAACTACCGACTTTCTCCTTCAAGTCGTCTTGCTTGTAAAACACATACAGGAAACAGCTTCCAGGGGATAAAACTTCAGAAAAAAACTGGCCCAGATGTAGCCTGGTGTACCTGGCTGTTCAGCTTGGACACTTCAGTGGCCAAAGCGATGTCTGGGCGGTAGGCCAGAGAACCTCCACGACTGGCCTCCTCACGGGCCTTGTCACGGTAGCCGATCTGTAAAGACAGGAAAAAAGAGTTGAACAGCAGGTCTAGATAGATCAGGACATTTTTTAGTTTTACCTTTGGTTCAAAGCCTAATATGTTGTTTTCAGTAATAATGTAGGTGGTATACATTTATTATTGGCTTTTTTTTCTCTTCATTTCATTAAATATAACTTTGATATGTGTGAATTAATTGTGGAGTTGGAAGTGAACATCAGGAATGTGCCAAACAGATGCTACAAATCCTTCCCTGGAGGAGAACCGGTTTTAAGCTAATCAACTGTAAAGTATGAACAAACTTGTTGATTACCCCGCTGATCAGTTTAGCGGCCTGGGTAGCTTTCTTTATGTCAGGACGGTCGACCACGGATGTGTAGTGCAGGTTGGCTTTGGCATCCTTCTTGTAGGAAACCTGCAGACAGATATTTTGAAGTAGTAATAATTGGCTAACTCACATTTAAAGAGAAATGTAAGAGGGTGCAAAACGGTCACATTGTGGAGAATGTATGCTGTAAAAAAAAATGTTAGCATCATTGTGGAGACGACTTACATTGCTCTGACACTTGGCCACATCAATGGCATGCTGAACATCAGGTGGAACAATCATCTGGTTATAGATCGACTTGCCCTTCTCCTTCTCAAACTTGGCTTTATACAGTTTCTGCAAGGTGAGAGAGGAACGTCAAGGCAAGTGGCACCGAAACACTTTAGGATTATGAGAAGTTGGGAAGTTGGTTCTGTAAAAATGTAAATGTGAAACTCATACCCCGCTGATAAGCTTGTTGATCTGCTTGCTGTGAACCGTGTCACGAGTCTCAGGCAGGGTGGTGAATGAGCCTGACTGCATGTCCTTCTTACTGGCCTCCTTGTATTTGCTCTGAGGGTGAAAATGAAGAAGTTGTTAACACATTCAAATAATTAAAAAATATATATATTTCTACTTCTCTGCACGTGGAGAATTCTTATGTATACAGAACAGGTTGACTTTTTGCTGACTGATACTCACCTCTGATGCCAGAACGCGCACAGCCTTAGCATGAAGGATTTGAGGAGTGTCCTGGACCGGCACATAGTGACCCTTCTCCTTTTCATACTTCTGTTTGTACTTCACCTGGAGGGCAGCGACAAGTCGAGTTTAATTGATAAAATGTTAATCAATCAATCAATCAGTCAATCAACCTTTATTAATACTTGGGAGATAAATGGTAAATGGATTTGAGCTTGTATAGCACTTTCTAGTCTTCTGACTACTCAAAGCGTTCTTACACTGCATGTCACACCTACACATTCACACCCTGATGGCAGAGGTTGCTATGTAAAGTGACCATTAGAAGTAACTAATCCATTCATGCACATTCATAGGCCGCCGCTGCAGGAGCTGGGGATCGACCCCCTCGACCTTTCGGTTGAGAGACGATGACGGGAAGTTAAAAATCGAATGTCTAAATTGTCCAAAAGGTTAGAGTGCATTGAATTCAAGGAGCTGCTGTATCCTAATCCAGGAGTCAAATGTGCAGCATTACAAAAAGGGGACTTTCCCATTTCCGAACCTAACTGAAGAAACATGTATCGGTAACCAGATCGAAGAGTGTGTCAGATAAAGCCTGTCTGAAAAATAAATAAGTTCTGTGAGTAAAAAGATACCAGTGCATAACACGATCCTCTTAAACAGAAGACAGAACATCTCAATTCAACACCAGAGTTAGTGATAAAGGCGTTTAAAAACTTACTATGCTGGCCAAATCTGTATTCTTCATATTCAGGAGGGTGAGCTTGTCGTCAGTGACAGGAATCACACAGCCCTTCATCATCTCTTTGTCATACTTGTACTCAACCTGTGGGTCGAACAATGGGAGCCAAGTTAGAGCAACACCTTTGAATGTTGTTTCAATGAAATATGAACGAAGCATGGACTCACATCACTCTGCTGCAGGGAGTTCTTGGCAGCATTGATGAAGTCGGGTCTGTCTGTGGTCCAGATCCACTTGTTCTTGGTGGCTTCATACTTCTTCTTGTAGTTAAGCTAAAAAAACAACAACAAAGAAATGAGTTAGAATGAAATCCATTAATGAAGAGTGAGTGATTGATGATCCCTTGTACTGTCACTAAAGACACTTACATTGCTGATGTTCCTGTAGGCCTCCTTGGCAGCACGGATCTCATGAGCCTCAGGGTCCATGTTGATCTGGGCCTTGCTCTTCTCATACACTTCTCTGTACTTCAGCTGCAGGATGCATGAAAAGCACACATCAATCACACAATTTAAGGTTATACTTTGGCTTCTTTTGCCACTGTGGAAAAAAACGATCTTAGAGAAGACTTCCGGTCAGAGCTGGACCTACGTTGCTTGTGAGCTCCTTGACCTTCTTCATGTGCTGCTGGTATGGAGTGTCATAAGGCAAGGTGTAGCCCTTAGCCTTGGTCTTGTTGTACTCCATCTTGTAGATGATCTGAGGAATAATAATCATAACGTAGTCATAGCCAGTCCAAAAGACTTATTGACAATAAACATACAGAAATGCTTTTGACTTCAACTGTTCAACCCCTCCCCAAAATATGAATGAAACACTCACATCGCTGATCTTCTTGCTGCGTCTGTGGGACTCATACTCGGGAGTCTCCAGAACAGAGGTGAACTTGTCCTTGGCACGCTCGTACTGCTCCCTGTACCTCCACTGATGAAGGATGGTGACGTGCAAACACAAAAACAAGTTAGTATCCCTCACAATACATTTTCTGCTTTAGCTAATTGTTGATGTGTGTCATGATTCATTTTGCTTAAAATTTATGAAGTCTAGGTAGAGAAGAAACTGTCCAAGAAAGAAGGGGAATAAATCCCTAAAAACAGATGTTGAAGTATCTTTGACAAAAGCAAAGTGTAGATTTATAGAAACTAAAGACATATGAAGTGTTTTTTTAGCCTTACATTTAAAAGTACTTCTCAAAGCCAATTTGACATACTACATTAGACTTCAACAATTAGTTTCTATCATAAATTATACATATTTTAAGTTAAACAAAGTCATTCTTCTGTTTTTCATTTACTGTTCTTGCTTTTCTGGGACAAATATCTAAAATGATCAGTCAGAAACTTCTGAACAAACATTTATCTTGTATGTTTTTTACTGAATGGAAGTAGTACAATGTGTCTAAAGGGTGAAGTGCAATGCAAATGTTTATAAAAATCATGCTTCATGAAACATGCACACACATAAAGGGAGTTATTTTTCAGTGAAAATGAAGACAGGGACAAGTGGCTACCACTGGTTAGTCTTGAAAGTCTTCAGTGCCCTCGTAGTTCACGTTGACCAGCGAGGTCACTGACGTGCTTACCGATTGGTTACTTCGAAGCTCAATTTGGAGAACACAAAAAAATTTGACTTTGGAGTTTAAGGACGTACTTTAAATAAAAGCTAATGGAAAGAAACATCCAATAAACTGACAGATGTTTAGTAATACTGAATAACAGATGACTCAGAAATGTATGACTTATAGCTTCTATTTTAAAGAAGCTTCAGTCTGTGAAATGTCGGTGAGTTGTAGGGAAACTAATTCACTGCATTTGAAGATGAATGAACTGTTCAGTAATGTGTGAGGCATGAAGAGAAGTGATGAAAGGGGTTACATGATGAATGAGAATGGTGGGATGTGAGGACATTAAAACCATTTTGAAAGTTGAAGAAGGTTGAAAGGTGGGAGGGAGTTTAAACGGGATGAACCAATGAATGTGATGATACCTTGCCACAGATGATGATGGATGTCATGAGGCCTTGTCCAAAAACAGCAGGGAGAAAGAGTAACCTTGTGACTCAGATGTATAAGACGGTAACCCTGCACTCACTGGCTCCTCTAATGCTCTTATTGCAGAAATGGGACGTTTTTCTCCTGGCTTAAGTGTATTTGTGAGCTCAAGACCTTAACCTGAAAACCTCATGGAAGTTAAAAGGAAGATGTGCTGTACTTTTTTAAATGTAAAAACAAAAATTAGTTTCCAATATTTGGAATTTGTTGATATTGGGAATTGTTTGCAGATCTGTTGCTGCACCTGTACCCTCATTTTAACAAAAAAAAAATGCTTTGCCTGACTTTTCACAAGGGTTAAAGTGATTATAAAGATTCTTTTACAAACCTTTACAATATTACAAAAACGTGATAGGAAACATGTCAATAATTAAAATGTTTCATCACAACAAATCTTTCTCTCTGCTCAATAAGACGCTAACTTGGCAAGTAGGAAAACTGATGTTTTTCTGAAGTTGCTATTCTGCTTTTCCGCTGAGCATATTTTCAGCCTCACATGTTTGCAGGGTCAGCCCTGAACTCCCAGTCTCTGCTTGTTTGTGGACAGGGATGAAAGTTACCATGGTTCACCACTCTGCGGCTCTTTACCTTACTGCCTAACGAAGTGGAGTAAAGGGCTGTGAGGATGTCAGGGCGGAGCAGCTCGTTGCAGCCACTCTTTAGCAGCTCCTTAGCTTTGGATTTATACCTTGCCTGTCCACACAAAACAACATACACACACACACACACACATACAGCATGCCATAGGTGAGGACACGGGAGAAACAGCAGCATCACTGGGAGGACTGGAGGCAAACACTCCGGGGATCCGAGTGTGACAAAAGAGCTGTTTAAGTCCTCATCTGTGCCTTCAGAGTGACAGAATTCAACATCCTCACTATTGCCATTTTATGAATGTTTTATTTAATTTTCAGTAAAATTGATTGATTGACAGTGATTCAACTGTCTCTCTGATTGCACAGATAAAGGGGAGTCCTGCTCACTCAAGACAGTGTTCCAGCTGCTTTTTGAGTGGCTGGTTTTTAAAACCTGTGTTTGTTGAACCAGAAGACAAAGAGAGAGAATAATATGTCTTCTCAGCTTAGACATGCGGAGACGACCATCAGCAGGCGACCTCATGCACTAGTGTGAGAGGTCTGGAGGAACAGACTGGAGGTTGCAGCGGAGGGGTGCAGACCGGCCGTACAACACGACCAGGGCGTTTACCTGGCTCATCTTATTGTTCTCCCTGGCCAGCAGGTATCTAGGATCGTCTGTAGTAATGGTGAACTTATCCTTGTTCTTCTCATAACTAGCTTTGTAGACTCTCTGCTCAGAACGTCAGAAGGTAGTTAAAGACAAACGTCCAGAAAACAATGTGCACTGTCATGTGAAAGGACTTTTAAAGGAGAAAGAGGAAGGTTTAAAAAAAACAGATGAAAACATTGGACACATTTTAAACACTTGATATTACACACAGAGGAAAACTGATCATATACATCAATGACAAATTCTAATAGTACTACAAATTCACACCTTGTTTTAATTTTCTTATCTCAAAACTGCAATAGCGATCAGGGACATAAATATTATCAACAACAAAATTGTCTATTTTACAAATAGGTTAAAAAAAACGATTTATTTTGCATTGACTGTTTCGGTTTAAAGAATGAAGGAACTCACGTTGTTGATGAGACTGGAGGCATTCTTGGCAGCCTCAAAGAATGGAGAGTCACAGGAATACTTGAAGTTGCCTCTGTTCTTCTCAAAGGACGCTTTGTAAAGTCTCTGTTAACAAGAAATATAAACCATCATGAGAAACATCCAGAAAGTGTAAAAACTCCATTGATGATCTATTTCTAGATTTATAGGCATGTTTGTTAGATTTATTTTGACATTGTGTATGGTAAAAAAAACAACTAAAAAGATACATCACCTCGCTGTACAACTTCTTGTTTTTCTCAGCCTGCACCAGCTCGGGTGTGTCCCACACAAAGCAGCCAATACCCTTCAGCCAATCCAGGTCCTCCTTGTACTTGACCTTCAGTGGAACATAGAAGCAATTCAATTGAAGTGTTAAATAGTACATCAATAATACTAATAATAGTACGACTAAACACCCTTCTACATACGGTGGGAAATATGATTGATTGACATATGATTGATTTAAGGAGTGCATGTAATCAGTACTTACACTGCTGACGTTATCGTTGGCAATTTTGCTGAAGAAGAACTCGGGACGGTCGGGGATGGACTTCCATGTTCCCAGAGTGCTGATGTACTTCTCTCTGTATTTAACCTGAGGTAGAGAAATAGAGAAAAATGCATAAGGAAGAGTATAAGTACTAATGGGATTAAAATAATGTGAAAACAAAATCACAAGAAATAATCCAGTAGATTATTTCATCACTGACCTCGCTGATGTCATCTGTGACTCTTCGGTGGTAGATGATGTCCAGAGCATCCTTGACTGTGTGGTAGTGACCTTTAGAGAGCTCAAAGGTCTCTTTGTAACGCAGCTGAAAAAAACAAAAACAACATGATTCACTGCAATATAGACAGCGCTATTTTTAGAATCTCTTCTCTATCGGATATTAAACACAAATTCACAATTTTTTGTAGAAAGTGGTTTGTGGTAAAGTTTGTTAAAGAAATTGATGTGACTATTAATAAACTCTGAGCTTAAACAGTAGCTTCCTAAAGTGTAGTTACAGTCTTGATTTCATGTTTTAGAGGCTACAGCTCAGAATACATCAGAGCAACCCTTTGGCCTCCTATAATGGCTTTCTTATCTACAAATTCAAACAGATCATTCAAGCATTGACTTGAATGATCTTGGCCATATTTTTCAAATAAGTGCCACTCAGAAGGTGAATGGCATCCTGGAAGACCCTCAGCCCCCTCTGCATGCAGAGTTTAGACTTCTGCAGACAGGGAGGATGTTCACTTAAGTTGGGAGGGCCAAATCTAACAGACACCTGAGGTCGTTTGTCCCATCAGCTGTTGGGTTTTTCATTAGCTGTAGGCATTGTTGCCAACTTTTAGTAATTACTATTGAGCCTTGTGTCCCTTATCTCACTCACGTCCATCATGATGATATCCATTGTAGTTATGTTTTATAATATATGTCTTCGTGCTGTTTTTTAGGATGTGAATTTCCTGTATGGACCTCTGCTCTAAACTAAATTACCCCTCGGGACAAAAAAGATTTTCCAATCCAATCCAAAAACAGTTATAATTAAAAAAAGGGGTATGTCCTTCAGTGTTTAATGACACTTTTATAAATGTGATAGTTTCCTGATAGTTTTTTGGTACTTATGCTTATTATATTGTTATTACTATTTTTTATTTATTTTATATTATATTATTATTTATATATTTATCTGTACTTCCAACTGATTTTTGGTGTTATGAGCAACTGTAGCAAACAAATTTCCCCCTGGGATTAATAAAGTATTTCTGATTCTGATTCTGATTTTGAAAGGTAAGCCGATACTCACATCGCTGGACTGGAGGTAGGACTTCTTGGCACGGATCAGGAGAGGTGTGTCAGCAATGGCCGTGTATCTGTGCTTCATCTTCTCGTACTGCTCTTTGTATTTGTTCTGAGGGAAGATAACAACAAGAAAGCATTATAAGACTGATATCTTATAACTGAGCTCTCTACGTTTCTTTTCTCAAAGAAGAGTGTCAAGCAGGACTTACGTCACTCTGGACCACTTTCATTTTCCTGGAATGGCCCATGACTGGAGTTTCAATTTCCTGGGTGAAATGAGCCCTCTCCTTACTTGCCAGGCCTTTGTACTGGAACTGTAGAGAAACAGGAAACACAACCATCGTTAACAGAAAAAAATGAAAAGATCTGTTTCAAAAAATAAAATACATCTGTCATGGCTTAAATGGACTTGCAATGTTAGTCAGCTGCTGGGCCCATTTGGCTCTCTTGATGTCCACAGAGTCCAAGGTGGTGGTGACCTTAGCCATCTCCTCCTTACTCTGGGCTTTGTAGACCATCTGAGAAAAGAGGAGGAGAAAAAATCAGGTGAATTCTCAGTCAAATCTGTTTATAATATAGGAAGACATTATTTAAAAACGATGTTACTGAAGCTACTTTTGAGACCTGGTAATTCCACAATTACTCAATGAAATGGGATCATGTGTTTTTTTTTAAAAGCTCACGCCGCTCATGTGGGTCTTCAGCTCAGTCACACGCTTGTACTCCGGTGTGTCCAGGACCACAGAGAAGTTGGCAAAGTTTTTCTTCGCTTCCACCGGGTATTCCACCTGTAAATAGAGAAAAAACAGAGCACACAATGGATCCTGATGTCGCTGCAAGAAATCGGTTGTGCAAATGAAAGTGAATGATAGCGATGTAAATGCAAAAGGAAGTTCATACTCTTTGTTTGGTGATGTTGCGAACGTGGACCATCTCTGGGGTGTCGTACAAGAAGCAGCCGACGCCTCTCAGCCACATCAGGTCCTCTTTGTATTTCAGCTAGAAACACAGAATTCAGTTTGTGAAATGATTCGATAAAAGCATCAAAGTGAGTAATGTTTGGGTGTCTGTTCAACACATACCTCGCTGGTGATCTCATTGACGTGGCGGAAGTGCATCAGCTGGGGCGTAATGGGCATATTGATCAGCTGGCCTCTGGTGTTGTAGTATTTCTCTCTGTAGCACAACTAGGATGAGAAGGAAAGAAAACTCCATCACGCTATGTGGATAAAAATAGAAACTTAAAATGCATAAATCGTGTGGGAACAGTTCCGTACTTCGCTGAGGTTCGTCTGGTTCATCTTGACTTGTTTGATATCAGGGGTGTCGTAGGTTGTGTGGATCTTGTCCTTTTGTTTGTGGTAGTCCTCACGATACAGACGCTGGGACAAAAGGAAGAAGGTAATATATGACAACGCTGTATCTGATAAAAGCTCTCCATCACGGTGGCCAATCAGCTGTGTCTCATCTTACATTGTTGGTGATGATGTTAGCCTTCCTGGAGTTGACAAAGTTCACTCCCTCCGGATGAAGAGTGTACGCTTTGGCCTTGGTCATCTCATAGGCCTCCTTGTACTTCACCTAATCACACAAAAGTAGAATATTATTCACTAACATCAAAGCATTAGCGAAACGGTTAAACAGCTGTTTGAGAAAATGGATAAATGTAATGAGTTACATTGCTGGTGACGACACTGTTCATCTTAGCCTGCTTGATGAGCGGTGTGTCATTGGGCAGGGAGTAACCAGTGGGCATGAAGCTCTTATTGGCCCCCTTGTACAAGTTCTGAAAAAAAGGGGGAAAGACAATATGGTGAAACAGGATGCATTTCATCTTCAAAGACATAAGCATACCAAAAGAAAAAAACAAATTCGGTCAAAACATGTCAGGCAAAGAAAGAAAATTCTGTAAAAATGGGTCCTTTTATTCATTTTGTATATGCTGTACTGATTTTTCAACATATCTGGAACACCTTAATTTCCTATAGAATCACCAGTTGCAGTTGTTAATCACTGCCAAGGCATCTGCAATTTAATATACATATATATGATGATAAAAGATTTTGATATTAACTACATTTTATTCAAAAGGAATAAAGTATGAAATAACACTCTTGTGTTTTGCTTTTCTGTGTTTGTTTTTTCTCTTCTTCTGTGTTTTGGATTCTTCTCTATGATCTGTGATGTCATATCATTGAAGAAACAAAACAGCACAAAAATTAGTACACTGTCGAGATGGGTGGAGATCTCGTTACCGCCCGTTCAAGGCTAGATCATGAAAGAAACCCTGACATATGTTTGTATTGATACAGACAGTTGTACGTATATTTATGCACTTTGGACATTTATTTATATTGAGGATTTATGATCATTACAAGCCACTTTTCTTCACATGATGTTTCATGATTACATTCCTTTTATATCTGTGTAGTCTGATTTGTGTTTTTTTTATTACTAGTTCAGATAGCATTATTATGTGCTGTATTGTGTTACGTGCTTCATCTTTCTATAATTTGTGGCATTAATCTTACCGTAAAAAATACATATATGATCTAAACAAATTCACTGAATATCAAGGAATATTATCTTACATCGCTCTGGATGTGGTTAGCCAAGCGCGCCCTTTCGGTTTCTATGGTAACAGCAGGCGTGTTGCAGGTGCCCTTGATGTTGGTGTTGTAGTCATAGCGATAGTGCAGCTGAAGACAGGGAGAGAGAAAAAAAAATGAGATGTAAAGGTCATGATTTGTTCAAAGATTTAAATAGTGAGAGTGTTAAAGAACATTGAAAGGGTCTCTTACATCACTCAGATTCTGAGCGTTCTGCTTGGCTGTCTCATACACTGGAGTGTCTGTCACCACAGAGTATTCCTTGAAGGATTCGATGCCCTTGGCTCTGTACTTGTTCTGGAGTAAAACAAAAAGGAAAACAAAAGACAATCAGCATCACTTCTGCTATAACACCAGCTGGTGTAAGGATAAAAGTGAAATGATGATAGTCAGTGTAAAGACATTATTACTGACAATGGATTTGAAGTATATGAAAACTTGAAAACTAACGAACCTCACTCTGAAGATTACCAGAATTCTTCACACGCAGGATCTCTGGTGTGTCCCAGGCATAGCAGCCGATACCCTTCAGCCAGTTCAGGTCATCCTTGTAGAAGATCTGGAAAGAGAAAAAAACACAAGTTAAGTGGCAGATGTGTTTTTACAGTCATTGGTTTATACTTTTTCATACCAAATAAAGGGATTCAAGAAAGGTAGGTAGAGAAAAAAAAGCAAGATTAAATACTGAATCTCTAAACTTGATTATATTTTTCACTTATCTTGGGTTCCTATTTGGATATTTTTTTCTCTTCTTCTCTTTTGGCAAAACTAATCTTTATAACAGGAGTAGTTGAGAGCAGAGGTGTGAAACTGTCATTAATTTAATGATTTTCTAATTGTCCCTTTGATGTCCTACCACCTGGTGGTAGAGAGGTGATTGCCCTCTATCTGTATTCCTATTGTTGAATTGTATTTAAAGGCAGCATGAGCCTGACTGTCTTCAGAAATCCGTGTTGCACGTAGAAAAAAGGTTTTCTGACTCATCACATCGAGAACTAGCAATTCTCATATTTTTGGAGGAAATTTCTCTACATCTCAATCTGAATCTTACATTTCTAATCTATTTATTAAATTTTTCTTACGAGCAACATCATAAATATTAAACAGATAGAATGCGGGTGAAGTCAGGTGTCCAATCTGTATCTGCAGAGGTAACTCAATAACAAATACAAAGTATGAAGCTGTGTGTCGTCACTCACGTCACTGAGCTGCTCGTTGACTTTGCGTGCTTGGACGTAAACCTGCATGTCAGGGAGACAGATCCACTGGTGCAGATACTTGCGGTAGTGGATTCCACTGACGGTGGACTGGGTGTTGCGGGCAGACAGGATCTCCAGCATGTCTGGAGGAATATGGTTCTTGGCCTTGTTCTTCTCGTAGTCCTCCTTGTACAGACGCTGTGAAGATGGACAAAGGAGTCTCTCTGTTTTTTTTGCCTTTGGTTCTTGCATTTTGTATGTGTATATACCGTATATATGATGCATTTTAGCTGCTAGTTTCTGAGTTTGACTTACGTCCAGGACCAGTTTTCCAGCTTTGACACAGCGAGCGGTGCCAGGATCGTCCTCAAGAGACTTGGGCAGGCTGTAGAGGGATTTGAACTTCTCGTAATCCTCCTTGTACTTCACCTAAAGGAGCAACAGTATTCCTATTATCTCTTGAAAATCTTCTATGTAAGTTAATCAATTAATAGAGAGTAGTTAAAGTTAAACTCACACTGCTGAGAATGACTTTCTGCTGTTTGGCATGTTTCAGGGCGTGTGAGTCATGTGGTATCTTGTAGCCCTTGGCTTTGATTTTGTCCCAGGCAGCGCTGTAGTTTTTCTGTTGATATAAAAAAAAAAAAAACAGCACATATTATCATCATGTATTTCTAATGGGAAAACTGATACATTTGATTCTGAGAGATATGTGAATCTTTACTTACATTGCTGAAGAACTGCTTGAAGTTGTGGCATCTGGCATAGTCGTGGGTATCCAGGACAGTGGTGTACAGGTGCTTCTCCTTGTGGTAAGCCTCTCTATAGTTGAGCTGTTTGTAAGAAATGTAAAGTTAATGAACTGGATCACATGCATTTTTAAAACTCAGTCAAGAAACATATGTACTACAAGTTGATCTCACTCACATCACTGGCCCAGGTGTGACCCAGGACAGCAGTCACATACGCTGGAGTGTCAGTCACAATGGAGTAATTGTTGAATTCTTTCTTGGCTCCGTCTCTGTATTTCAGCTGTGAGAGAAGATAAACGTGAGGGTAAATCATCACAATGACACACACCAAAGATATTCTATAAAAACCCCAATAAATTCTGAACATTTCCTGCGGCCTCGCTTCTTCTTACTCACCTCACTCTGAAGCTCGTAGGACTTCTTGGCACGAACAATCTCGGGTGTGTCCCAGATATAACAACCGATACCCCTCATCCAGGTCAGGTCCTCCTTGTAGAACACCTATTTAAAGAAAAGAGCAAAGAGCACACATTGTTTTTAAAACAATGAGGAGAACATAGTAAAAACTCTTGCAGATAACTAGGACTGATTTACAAGGTATTCTTCTTGTTTTTAAGTCCCTTTATAGTTGGCCTGCATTATTGATTTTTTAGAATTTTTTTTAAACACAAACTTCTCAAAACTACAGAACATTTGAAGCTGGGCCTCTGTTCATGTAGCATCAACACAATTAAGGGTTTATACTGATTTAAAAACAATAGAACTACTCTTCTCTCGCAAGGTTGCTGCACAAAATAAAAAATCTAATTCAAGACTTTTTGAGACCCTTTTAAGAGAAACAAAGAACAAATAAATACAAAATTTGCACTGGATAGCATCTGTGCTTTTTGGATTTCATGATTTGGATTTCATGTGAATTTGATTCCTAATGTCCCAAGTTTAAAATATTTTGCAGGTCGTCCCATAATCGCTGTTTAACTCTGCAAACCACTCCCTGTATGTTTCATCTTGAAGCTTCCCTAGAACTTGTATTTCCCCGCCCTCTTCTCCTTCTCTATTCCATTAGCAGTTTGTGAATGCTGTGAATTGTGACATGAACAAGCAAATCCGCAAAAATAAATCATATAATGTTCAGAAGACTTTGTAGATTTGATGACTTATTCAGACATCCCTAAAACAAGTAAAAAAAACATGTCTTTTTAAGAGATTTCCTGACCTCAAATCTTAAAAAATCCATCATTTTAGTGACAGAGCCTTTATTAACTAGAGAATAATCTCATTTTAAAAACGTTTTTTTACTGAGCTTGTATATAAAGCTGAAGATGTGTTGTGAATCTGGACTTACATCACTGAGAATCTCGTTGGTCTTGCGGGCACGGATGGCGTCCTCCTGGTCGGGATGGCAGGTCCACTGGTGCAGGTAGGTGCGGTAGAGGACATCGCTCAGCATATCCTGGCAACGCTTGGCCACCTTGTTAGCGATGATGTCAGGCGGGAGGTGGGTCTTGGTCTTGGTTTGATTGTAATCCTTCTGATAGAGCCTCTGTGAAAACATGCACACCATGAATAGTTATTAATAATGTTTTTAAAAATGTGAAAACAAATGAAATCGTAGGTGGATTATAACAAGAAGAAGAAGAAATACATCTTTTATCTTTTTCATGTATGTGCAACCTCTGTAAGAGGTGTCATCAATGTCATTGGTGCTTCTGTCACAGTGATCGGATGCATTGCTATGGGTAGAATAAATAGACACACTGGTATAAGTATCTTACCAGTCCCTTGTTCTTCTCCTGGCCTCCACAGCGCATCACTTCAGGGAAGTCCACCAGGGTTCCAGCCATGTAGTGACCCTTTGCCTTCTCATGCAAATCCTTGTACTTGACCTAGTAAGATGCAGGACAACAAAACACAAGAAGGTTTACATTTTGATAAAAAGATTTCATGCGCTTGGCCGAACAAAGTTCAATATTATAAAGAAATATAAGACACTCACATCACTAGCGATCTCCCTTCCCTTCTTGCCACTGACGAGCGGGATGTATTCGTGATTCAGCTTGTAGCCTGCGGCCTTTGATTCATCCCACGACTGTTTGTAGAGTTTCTGAAATCATTCAAAGTAGGTGCAAAGTTAAAAAAGTCTCATTCAGTTACTACATTTCAAACATATCAAATATGAATTAAAAAAATAAATGATAAGGCTTGTTTTTTTTTGTTACCTCACTGATGTTCTTAGAAACCTCTCTGCTGTGGGCAAGTTGGGGAGTGTCTTCTGAACCGATGTATTGACCCTTCTCTGCGTTGAATGTCTCTTTGTACTTCAGCTGTAGTGGAAGGAAACAGCAGAATTTACATTTGTTTATTGAGAATTAACATTTTCTTTACAGTTTAATCATTATAATTTTTTTTTGACATACATCACTGAGGTTTGCAGCATTTATTCTGGCCAGGATGAGCTCAGGGCGGTCCACAATCAGGGTGAATTTCTTGAAGCATTCTATGGCATGCTTCTTGTAGTGCCTCTGCAGGAAAAATTACAGAAGCAGCAAGGTGAGATACAAAAAAACTAACACGGAAATGGGTACGGAAAGTGGTTTAAGAATAACAATAATAATGAACTCAAAAGACTGAAGATGACACAGTAAACATACCTCGTTGATAATCTCCTGGGCCTTCCTGACCTTGACGTGGTCGACAGAGTCAGCTGCCATCCAGCCGCAGCCACGGAGCCACTCCATGTCAGCCTTATACACATGCTAGAAACAGAAGCCAAAATACACATTTAAAACGTCATCATCATACGCATCTAAAAACAAAAAAAGGCCTTGGTCAGGTTGATCAGCACTCACGTCACTCTGCAGTTCATAGGCTTTGCGGGCCTGGATGACATCATTAGAGTCTGGCATGCAGGTCCACTGGTGAAGGCGGGTTCTGTAGTTGTCATCGTTGACTTGGGCCTGGCATTTCTTGGCCAGCTCAAACTGCAGCATGTTCACTGGCAGGTTGAACTTGGTCTTGGACTTGTTGAAGTCCTTCTTGTACAGTGCGTCACTGGCAATCTTGGCTGAGTTCAGAGCCAGCATCATCAGAGGGTCGTCCTGGACGCAGCGAGCACCGATGTGGTGGCCAACTTGCTTGCGGTATGAATCGAGGTACTTGTGCTATATGGCAGAAAGAAGTTGTTATCTCCATTTTGTAAGGCTTACAGTTAAATGTACAGCTTAAATGAATGCTCTCATAATAAAAGGAACAGCAGCAGCTCCTTCCCACTACATACCTGACTTTGGACTTTAGAATTAGAGATGCACTGCTTGATTGGTACAGCATCTCCAGGCATGTAGTACCCTGTGGCTTTGACCTTGTCCCATTCTTTGGTGTACAGGTGCTACAAGATATGAACAGTTATTAAAGGTCTATCATATTGTGTATTGTCACTTAACCAAAATATGTAGAAAATAATGAGAAGTTATCCTACCGGGTGAACGTTCTTAGCCACCTCTCTGGCTGTGGCGAGTATTGGAGTGTCCGCAACTGTGAACTTGGTCTTGTCCTTGTGCCAAGCCTCACGATATTTAGCCTGAGCAGAGACAAAAGTTCAAACTCAGTAACAACAGATCTGAAATCTGCCTTTGCAACCATTCTGTGGTGTGATTTAGCTGGAGGACGCAGTCTACAGCGTTGTGGAAAATGGTACTCAATTCTGAGTGGTATAAAGGTGTATTTCATGCTTTTAAAGGTAAACACTAAACAAGTTTGAGCAATGTTCGCGAACAAGGCTGACTTTCTCTAACCAGGCTGACTTTCTCTAACCAGGCTGACTTTCTTTGACCAGGCTGACTTTCTCTGACCAGGCTGACTTTCTTTGACCAGGCTGACTTTCTTTGACCAGGCTGACTTTCTTTGACCAGGCTGACTTTCTCTAACCAGGCTGACTTTCTTTGACCAGGCTGACTTTCTTTGACCAGGCTGACTTTCTCTAACCAGGCTGACTTTCTCTAACCAGGCTGACTTTCTTTGACCAGGCTGACTTTCTTTGACCAGGCTGACTTTCTCTAACCAGGCTGACTTTCTTTGACCAGGCTGACTTTCTTTGACCAGGCTGACTTTCTCTAACCAGGCTGACTTTCTCTAACCAGGCTGACTTTCTTTGACCAGGCTGACTTTCTCTAACCAGGCTGACTTTCTTTGACCAGGCTGACTTTCTTTGACCAGGCTGACTTTCTTTGACCAGGCTGACTTTCTCTAACCAGGCTGAATTTCTCTAACCAGGCTGACTTTCTTTGACCAGGCTGAATTTCTCTAACCAGGCTGACTTTCTTTGACCAGGCTGACTTTCTCTAACCAGGCTGACTTTCTCTGGCCAGGCTGACTTTCTTTGACCAGGCTGACTTTCTCTAACCAGGCTGACTTTCTTTGACCAGGCTGACTTTCTCTGACCAGGCTGACTTTCTTTGACCAGGCTGACTTTCTCTAACCAGGCTGACTTTCTTTGACCAGGCTGACTTTCTCTAACCAGGCTGACTTTCTTTGACCAGGCTGACTTTCTCTGGCCAGGCTGACTTTCTCTAACCAGTCACTAACCAGGCTGACTTTATTTGCAGAGGCTGACTTTCTCTTACTCAAGATCCTTCTTTAATATGCATATGCTTGCCTTGGTCTTACACACACACATAGCCAGAAATGCAACTTGTACAAATTTTATAAAATAGCCTTGCAGCTTCATGCATTTTTACTCAGAGGGTATTCTTCCTCAAAAAACAGTCATCCACTCTCGACCAAATCTCTCTTTGCAGGGATCTCCCCCATGGAGTATTGCTGACATCTGGGATTGGACTCTCTGACCTAAAGTGTTATAAGTCCCCTCTGCCTTAAAGGCCCTCCTCATACTCCTTATGAGCTCTTCTTAATCCTCAAGTATCACTTTTAATTCAGAATACATGCTATACCAAAGCTGTCTTTTTAGCATCTGGATAGCAGAGAGTCATGCTCACCTCATTGAGGACGTCAGCAGCATTCTTGGCGCAGACCATGTCCACTCTGTCATTGTGGACAACAAATTTCTGCGTATCCAACTTGACACGATAGCCTCTCTGTAACACAAGAAAAAAAAAAAGTAAAACAAGGATTCAGCAAACATTTATTCTGTCTTACATTTATATGAAGTTTTTATTCTCCTTAAAATAAAAAACTTAAAAGTCACACTTACATCAGCAAGGATCTTCTGTGCGTGCTTCACTTTCAGTACATCCACACTCTCATGTGGGACCCATCCACATCCACGTATCCATTCAAGATCAGCTCTGTAAACAGCCTGAGGAGACAAAAACAGATTTGGTCATGTTATTCCGTGACATTATACATCTTTATACACAATAAGCAAAATAAGAGAAAAGTTAACCTTATACATATCATTGAAAAATCCCCAAAACTTTGGCTCATTGTGAATATCATTGTAAAAAATTATGTGTAAACAATCACAGCAATATGCATACATCGCTCTGCAGATCGTAGGCCTTTCTGGCCTGGACGACATCGGTGGAGTCTGGCAGACAAGTCCACTGGTGCAGATGAGTTCTGTAGTTGAAATCGTTGACCTGAATCTGGCATTTCTTAGCCAGCTCGAGATTCAACATGTCCACTGGCAGGTGGAACTTGGTCTTGGACTTGTTGAAGTCCTTCTTGTACAGAACCTCGCTGGCAATCTTCCCTGAGTTCAGAGCCAGCATGATCAGAGGGTCCTCCTCCACGCAGCGAGCCCCGATGTGGTGGCCGACCTGCTTACGGTATGCTGTCTTGTACTTGTACTGAAAAGAAGAGACAAGAAGAGAGATTGTTGGAAAGTTAGAAAGTATTGCTTGGAAATCTGTTCAACTCAATTAATAAGCATTCTTTTTTCTTACGTCACTAATGATATCTCTGGAAGCTCTAGCCTTCAGCACAGAGATAGCATCCTCCTTGATATGGTAGCCCTTGGCCTTCTGGTCATCCCATGTCTTTGTGTACAGTTTCTGCAAAGAACAAGAAAAATGATCAAAGATGATTATATTAAATTGTGTAAGCACATCAAATCCTTTAATCTCGTCTAAAGTAAATAATGCATTTTATCTTATAAGATCAAATATTTGAGTCAAGTTTTCATCATTGTTATCACAGGCAGAACTGCTTTAGTGCTGATATAATACAACTTACATTGCTTATGTTGACAGAATTAGCCTTGGACAGTTCAAAGCTTGGGGCGTTAGGTGGCATGTGGAAGGTGAGCTTGTCTTGATCCCAAACTTGTCTATATTTCCTCTGTCAGAAAGGGAAGAAAATAAGAACATTGAGTCCTTTATTATGAAGCCCTAATATCCACAAGTTTTTACTTTGCAGTTTAAAATTAAATAGAGAAATCTGTTAGAGCGCCAAAAGATGCCTTCACTCACATCACTGATGTTGTCAGCGTTTTGCTTGGACAGGACAATAGCTGGGAGGTCAACAACACTGGTGAACTTCTGAGTGCTCGGTGGCTGGCGGTACAGCCTCTCATTGAGAATAGTCTGGGCATTTCTAGCCTTGATGACATCCACAGAGTCCTGAGGTGACCAGCCACATCCCCTCAGCCACTCCATATCAGCTCTGTAGACAGCCTAAAAAAAATAAATTTAAGTTTTAAACTCACCAAATACTGCATATGCACTATGCACATATGCAATAATGCACAGACTCAATCAATCTTAAGACTGTCTTAATATTGTCAAAATAGCACTGCATTGTACTCACATCACTCTGCAGGTCATAAACCTTTCTAGCCTGAACAACATCATTGGAGTCTGGCAGGCAGGTCCACTGGTGCAAGTGAGTTCTGTAGTTGAAGTCGTTCACTTGCTGCTGGCATTTCTTGGCAAGTTCAATCGTCAACATGTCCCCCGGGAGGTTGTACTTGGTCTTGGTCTTGTGGAAGTCCTTCTTATAGATGTTGTCGCTGGAGATCCTGGCTGCATTGGCGGCCAACACAAGCAGTGGGTCGTCATTCACACTAAGGGCACCAATGTGGTGGCCACACTGCTTGCGGTAACCGGCCTTGTATTTGTACTGAACGTATGGGATGGAAATATTTTGATTAGTTTCACGATACAAATCGTTGCAGTGAATGTGCAAAAATACTGACAAATTCAGCAACAAAGAAAAGGGAATAATGTCAAACATTTGAAAGTGTGACACAGACTTACATCACTGATGATGTCTCTTGAAGCCTTTGCTGATCGAACAGAAATAGCATCTTTGGGAAGGAAGTAGCCTTTGTTGATGGTGTCCATGTAGCCTTCACGATAATATTTCTGGGGAGAAAATAATAATGTAAGGTTGTCTGATTTGTACACTGTGTTCTTTGCACTATAATACAGAGTAACAACTTTCACCAGGGAGAATAGTGTCTCTCCATGTCCACAGAGTTCTCCGGTTGCCTACTTAAAGTGCTATGTAAGTGCTATGTAAGTTTGTCAGAAGGCCACGATTCCCTTGCAAAAATTGGTACAGCTTTACGTCTCACGAGCCTTTTGCACCGTCTCTGTACTGTCAGATTGATTGTCTGAGGCTAAGAGATGGAAGAGGACAGTGACAGATGAAGCAAAGAAGAGAAAAAGAGAGACTGACCAAGCAAGAAGCAGAGTGTACATCCCTGTAGGTATTACTCATAACATATCGCGATAGCTGTTAGCGTTGTCTTCCTTGTCTCATGTGTAGCAGCTTTACTGGGTGCAGAAAGTCATCCAACCAAAGTTGTTTCTCAGTCTCACTTATGAATAAATAAATCAATCTTTTCTCTACAATGGGCTGTAGGCATTAGCAGAGTCATATTCACGCACAATCTGCGCACGATAAGATTACTGTACCTTGTCAGTCAACATGGTTCTTTGGCTTCTTACAACACCAACCCTCTGCTTGTCAACAAATACATGTTGTCTATGCTCGGGAGACAGAACAGCACTATGTGTTTTATGACAGTGCAGTTGCACTCAGAGACCTTCGGTGGGCGCCAAAGCGCAAGAGACCGGGTTGCGATATAATGTTGCTTTAACATCCACTGTTTGTAATCTGTGATGTATCATTTTGTGTCACAAAGACATGAAGAGGGAGGTGTTTTACCAGACTGGTGTTGAGTTTATTCTGCTTGGCCAGGACGATCTCTGGGGTGTCTGGCATGACGTGAATGTTGATCTTATCATTCTCCCAGGCAGCATTATATGCTTTCTGTAAATAGCAGAATAAACAGGTTTTAGTAAGATGTCCCTTTTTTCTGAGGAAACAAAACTTTATTTGAAAGCATGGTCAAAGAAACCAAACTACAACAAAAGGCTAAGATTTGTCATGATACTAAACAAATTGTCTCCACAACAAAGATAAAGGAATAATAATCCAAAGAAAATGGAATGAAGTGAACTAGCTATCTCTACCTTGTCCATGGTTTGGGCATTGGCCTGAGCAAGCGCATATGGCATGTCACATGTCTTGGCAGTGAATTTGAATTTGCTGGGATGCTGACGGTACTTTATTTCACTCAGAATTTCTGCAGCTTTCTTGGCTTTCTCCACATCAACTGACCCAATTGGTACCCAACCGGTTCCCCTGATCCATTCCATGTCAGCTTTGTACACAGCCTACAAGACACGTTGGGAGGAAATGAGAAGGCACATTGAGGTTTTATTAAACAAAAAAAAGATTTGAATTGTCCAGGAAATCATGAGAAATCCTCATCACTTACATCACTCTGCAGGTCATACACCTTTCTGGCCTGGACGACATCGTTGGAGTCTGGCAGGCAGGTCCAGTTATGCAGATGAGTTCTGTAGTTGAAATCATTGACCTGAATCTGGCATTTCTTGGCCAGCTCGAGATTCAACATATCCACTGGTAGGTGGAACTTGGTCTTGGACTTGTTGAAGTCCTTCTTGTACAGAGCATCACTGGCAATCCTGGCTGAGTTCAGAGCCAGCATGATCAGAGGGTCGTCCTGGACGCAGCGAGCCCCGATGTGGTGGCCGACCTGCTTGCGGTATCCTGTCTTATATTTGTACTATGAGGAGAAAGTAAAATCATGATTAACAGAAAGCTTTTCAAAATAGTAGAAATCAGCATCACTGACAAAGCATTATTTTCATGTTGCTCACATCGCTGATGATTTCTCTTCCATGTTTGGCAGCAATAACAGAGACAGCATCGGCTTTCATGTCGTAGCCCTTTCTGAACATCTCCTCAACGCCTTCCCTGTACAGTTTCTGAGAAAGAAAGGAAAACAGTTCATTTAAAAAAATAATATCATGATGCAAATTATCCACATTTATACTGAAGTGTGATAAAATGTCTGACAGGGGGCGCTGGTTTAGATCAGCTGGTGCAGGCGCCCCACGTACAGAGGGTAAGTACAAACCCAACATACCCTGCTGATGTTGTAAGCATTAGCTTTAGAAAGCAGCAGCTCAGGAAGGTCAGGCGTCACATGGGTCTTAATCTTATCAGCCTCCCAAGCAGCGATGTAGTGTTTCTGTTATGTGAAACAAAGAAGATTAAATAATCTTTAAATGTGATCAACAGGAAACGAATATAACAAATGTTTGATATGAAAGTGCTTACCTTGTTGATGGTCTCAGCGTTTGTTTTGGCTAACACCATGGGCATGGAGGTCATGTCAGTTTTAAATTTGAATGTTTCTGGTTTCTGCCTGTACAGACGTTCATTGAGGATGTTTGAGGCATTCTTAGCTTTAACAACATCAATTGAACCAATTGGGATCCATCCTACGCCAATGACCTCATCCATGTCAGCTTTGTAAACAGCCTGAAGGAAAAAAGCGTATACATGTTACATCAAAACTTATAAAGACAGTCGACATGGCACTGTATGATTTAGTATGTAAGCTGATTTTATCAACTTGATTTTATCAACTTACATCACTCTGAAGATTGTAGGCCTTTCTGGCCTGGACGACATCATTGGAATCTGGCAGGCAGGTCCACTGGTGCAGGCGGGTGATGTAGTTGGCATGGTTGACTTGAATCTGGCATTTCTTGGCCAGCTCAATATTCAACATGTCCACTGGCAGGTTGAACTTGGTCTTGGACTTGTTGAAGTCTTTCTTGTACAGGGCATCACTGGCGATCTTTCCTGAGTTCAGAGCCAGCATGATCAGAGGGTCCTCCTCCACGCAGCGAGCACCAATATGGTGGCCCACCTGCTTGCGGTATCCTGTCTTGTACTTGTACTGTCAATATTAGGAGAAAACATGTTTTGTTTCAACTGGAAAGTGTCTTACATTGTATGCTACATCAGTGTCTGTATTACATAAATACATATAGTTCAATATGAATCACTCACGTCACTGACGATGTCCCTGGAAGCCTTAGCAGCCAGGACTGACACAGCATTAACTGGAAGGAAGTAACCTTTCTTGATTGTTTCTTCAAAACCTTGTCTGTAGAGTTTCTGAAAAGTGAGACAAATACTTAAGGTAAACAATTGAAAGCTTATGGTATTAAAAAAAAACCTAGGTGGGCAGAAATCTCAATAATATGAAGGAGGATCCAGGTTGTGAACGTAACAACAACAACTGCAAACAAGCAAGTTTAGAAATTATTTAAAAAAAACTTTGAAAAGTTAAAAAGCTTGTCAAACATTTCAACACAAGAAATGTTGTTGACATGAAGAAAGCCAGGATTTCACAACATAAGGCAGTGTATTCAGAATGATACTTACCCTGCTCATGTTAATAGCATTCTGCTGAGAGAGGACGATCTCAGGAGTGTCGGGTTTGATGTGCAGGGTAGTCTTGTCCTTCTCCCATGCCTCAGTGTAGAGACGCTGGAACAAACCAAAAATAATCCCAATGAAAGTTAAGATCAGCATTTTCTACTTTAAGTCATGTCATGTTTAAGAAGTTGGTATTTTACCCTCAATAATCATGAGTACTACCTTGTTCATGGTCAAAGCATTATTCTTTGCCAAAACCATGTTCATAGCATCCGTGGTGCTGGTGAATCTTTGGGAGCTGGGGTGCTGGCGATACTTTATTTCACTCAAGACCTCACCAGCCTTCTTGGCTTTTTCCACGTCAATCGAGCCAATGGGGACCCAGCCCAAGCCCTGGAGCCACTTCATGTCAGCCTTGTAGACAGCCTACAGAACAACATAGTCAGGAAAAGGTAAATACTCAGCTATCTTGTAGCATGAACTTTAAAGATAAGACTTACTGAGACAAATTAGAAGGGGAGTTAAACTCACATCACTCTGAAGGTCATATGCTTTTCTGGCCTGGACGACATCATTGGAGTCTGGCAGGCAGGTCCACTGGTGCAGGCGGGTGATGTAGTTGGCATGGTTGACTTGAATTTGGCATTTCTTGGCCAGCTCAAGATTCAACATGTCCACTGGCAGGTTGAACTTGGTCTTGGACTTGTTGAAGTCCTTCTTGTACAGAGCATCACTGGCGATCTTGGCTGAGTTCAGAGCCAGCATGATCAGAGGGTCGTCCTGGACACAGCGAGCACCGATGTGGTGGCCGACCTGCTTACGGTATCCTGTCTTGTACTTGTACTGGAGGAAAAATGACAAAATGTTATCATTGACAGTTGTGTAAAGGTGGTATCACAAAAAAGTTACTTTACAGTTTATTCATTATTCTATACTGCTTGTCTTGTTGGGGGTTGCAGAGGCTGGAGCCGATCCCAGCTGTCATTGGGCTAGAGGTGGGGAACAACCTGCTGTGGTCACCAGACCCTCAAAGCACTGATAGGGCAGACAAACTTTGACGCTCACACCTACAGGAAACCAATTTACCTAACAAGTTCCTGGAGGGAACGCATTCACTCACAGTAGGAACATCCAAACTACACACAGACTGTCCAATAATGGATTCGAACCAGGTACCTTCCTGCTCTGAGGCAACAGCTCTAACCACTGCACCACAGAGAAGATGCAAACTTCAATTAGTTGACTAAAGTAAAAAGGATATTGTATTTATAGTACTGAGCACTGTTGTCACTTTAGCATGTTTTGTCCTGTGCTGTCATTTGTGTGTAAAACACTGCAAACCAAATCTACCTACGGGTACATATAAAGTTACCTTACCTTAGTATAAGGTGTATGTAAATAAGCTCCCTCTTCATATCAGTCATTTAGAAATTGCTAATTTGAGACACTTACATCACTGATAATGTCTCTGCCGGCCTTGGCTGCAAGGATGGAAACGGCATCATTGCGCAGATCATAACCCTTCTTCTTGGCATCTTCATATGCCTGTTTGTATGATTTCTGTGAACAAACAAAATCATCCCAGAAGTGTTAAGTATATGATTTCAACATTGAATCAAAATTGTCCATCAAAAAGGATTTCCGTCGAATCATAGGTATTTTCTCCCTCTCTCACCAAGCTGTAGTTGACATTGTTTGCTTTGGCCAAAAGAACATCCATAGCATCGGGCATGATGTGGATCTTGGTCTTATCCTTGTCCCATGCATCCACGTATGCTTTCTGCAGTCACAGAACCAAAAACAAGACAGTTTACTCATTTATGATCCCTGCAGGTATACAGTTGTTAAAATCATTTCTTTATCATTTACAAATATATGAGGTAATGAGTGATACTTGCTATTGTACAAACTAATTCCTTCATGATGATTCATACCTTGTTCATAACCTGAGCGTTGGCCTTAGCCAACACCATGGGCATGTCGTCAGTGCTGATCTTGAATTTGAAGTTGCTTGGGGACTGACGATACAGTCTTTCACTCAGAGCTTCACCAGCTTTCTTTGCCTTCTCAACATCCAGTGAACCTATAGGCACCCATCCGATACCTTGCATCATCCTCTGATCCTCCTTGTACACAGCCTGAACAACACAATATGGGTCCACTATCATTACAGATATTCAAAATACATTGAAACTTCACTCGCTATAGATTCAAGGACATTCATACTCACATCACTCTGTATGTCATAAGCATGTCTGGCGGCGACCACATCATTGGAGTCTGGCAGACAAGTCCAGTTGTGGAGACGGGTGATGTAGTTGGCGTGGTTGACCTGAATCTGGTTCTTCTTGGCCAGCTCAAAGGCCATCATGTCCACTGGCAGGTGGAACTTGGTCTTGGACTTGTTGAAGTCCTTCTTGTACAGGAAATCACTGGCAATCCTGGCTGAGTTCAGAGCCAGCATGAGCAGAGGGTCGTCCTGGACACTGCGAGCCCCGATGTGGTGACCGACCTGCTTACGGTATCCTGTCTTATATTTGTACTGAAAAAGTGAAAAGCAAAATTCAATGCAAGCAGGTACAGCAATTTATAAGATACATATTTTTTTAAAATCTGTGAAGCAACAGCTTACATCACTGGCAATGTCCCTGGAGGCCTTGGCTGCGATGATTGAAACGGCATCATTGCGCATATCATAGCCTTTCTTCTTGGCATCCTCATGTGCCTGTTTATACTTTTTCTGTAAACAAAGAAATTCACCACAGACATGAGTTTGTGTTTATCTCTTTTTCAGCAGATTTGAGTGATAATCACGTGTGATATAAAATACACATTAGATTAAAATAGGATTTGTAAGAGCTCTATGAGTGTTTCTTGGCTCTTACATATTTTAGTCTGTACTTACAAGGCTGTAGTTGACATTGTTTGCCTTGGCTAAAAGAACATCCATAGCGTCAGGCATGATGTGGATCTTGGTCTTGTCCTTGTCCCATGCGTCCACGTATGCTTTCTGCAGTTCCAGAAAATAAATGCGTACAATTATCTCCACAAAAAAGAAAACTTATAAGATGAAAAATTACATATCATATCAGTGTCTAGTTTAACTCAGTTAAAAATCCATTATTTTCATTCTACAGCACTTGGCAGATTGCAGTTTGCATACCTTGTTCATAACCTGAGCGTTGGCCTTAGCCAACACCATGGGCATGTCGTCAGTGCTGATCTTGAATTTGAAGTTGCTTGGGGACTGACGATACAGTCTTTCACTCAGAGCTTCACCAGCTTTCTTCGCCTTCTCAACATCCAGTGAACCTATAGGCACCCATCCGATACCTTGCATCATCCTCTGATCCTCCTTGTACACAGCCTGAACAACACAATATGGGTCCACTATCATTACAGATATTCAAAATACATTGAAACTTCACTCGCTATAGATTCAAGGACATTCATACTCACATCACTCTGTATGTCATAAGCATGTCTGGCGGCGACCACATCATTGGAGTCTGGCAGACAAGTCCAGTTGTGGAGACGGGTGATGTAGTTGGCGTGGTTGACCTGAATCTGGTTCTTCTTGGCCAGCTCAAAGGCCATCATGTCCACTGGCAGGTGGAACTTGGTCTTGGACTTGTTGAAGTCCTTCTTGTACAGGAAATCACTGGCAATCCTGGCTGAGTTCAGAGCCAGCATGAGCAGAGGGTCGTCCTGGACACTGCGAGCCCCGATGTGGTGACCGACCTGCTTACGGTATCCTGTCTTATATTTGTACTGAAAAAGTGAAAAGCAAAATTCAATGCAAGCAGGTGCAGCAATTTATAAGATACATACTTTTTTTAAATCTGTGAAGCAAACAGCTTACATCACTGGCAATGTCCCTGGAGGCCTTGGCTGCGATGATTGAAACGGCATCATTGCGCATATCATAGCCTTTCTTCTTGGCATCCTCATGTGCCTGTTTATACTTTTTCTGTAAACAAAGAAATTCACCACAGACATGAGTTTGTGTTTATCTCTTTTTCAGCAGATCTGAGTGATAATCACATGTAAAAGTACTGAAAACAAATACATATTTGATTGAAATAGGATTTGTAAGCGCTCTATGAGTGTTTCTTGGCTCTTACATATTTTAGTCTGTACTTACAAGGCTGTAGTTGACATTGTTTGCCTTGGCTAAAAGAACATCCATAGCGTCAGGCATGATGTGGATCTTGGTCTTGTCCTTGTCCCATGCGTCCACGTATGCTTTCTGCAGTCCCAGAAAACAAATGCATACAATTAACTCCACAAAAACAAATACTTATAAGATGAAAAATTACTTATTATGTCAGTGTCTAGTTTAACTCAGTTAAAAATCCATTATTTTCATTCTACAGCACTTGGCAGATTGCAGTTTGCATACCTTGTTCATAACCTGAGCGTTGGCCTTAGCCAACACCATGGGCATGTCGTCAGTGCTGATCTTGAATTTGAAGTTGCTTGGGGACTGACGATACAGTCTTTCACTCAGAGCTTCACCAGCTTTCTTCGCCTTCTCAACATCCAGTGAACCTATAGGCACCCATCCGATACCTTGCATCATCCTCTGATCCTCCTTGTACACAGCCTGAACAACACAATATGGGTCCACTATCATTACAGATATTCAAAATACATTGAAACTTCACTCGCTATAGATTCAAGGACATTCATACTCACATCACTCTGTATGTCATAAGCATGTCTGGCGGCGACCACATCATTGGAGTCTGGCAGACAAGTCCAGTTGTGGAGACGGGTGATGTAGTTGGCGTGGTTGACCTGAATCTGGTTCTTCTTGGCCAGCTCAAAGGCCATCATGTCCACTGGCAGGTTGAACTTGGTCTTGGACTTGTTGAAGTCCTTCTTGTACAGGAAATCACTGGCAATCCTGGCTGAGTTCAGAGCCAGCATGAGCAGAGGGTCGTCCTGGATGCTGCGAGCACCGATGTGGTGGCCCACCTGCTTACGGTATCCTGTCTTGTACTTGTACTGAACAAAATTGTGAGAGTTTACATAATGAAACACTGATTTGGGAAAACTGGCCGTTGGTATATGAATTACCGTAGGTAGTATAGTGTACATTAAACCACATGCATACTTACATCACTGGCAATAACAGTTGAGGCTTTGGCAGCCAGGACAGCAATGGCATCACCACGAACATTATGACCCTTCTTTTTGGACAGCTCATTGTCCAATTTGTACAATTTCTGAGGAGCAAGAGAGACAGAACATTTTTATCATTTAAATTTCAAATAAATATACTCGTGTATTCCATATTTCTTCTGTTAAATTCTTACAAATCATAGCAGTTTCGGGAAAACTGTGTGGAAATATGTCCAAAAACCGAGATAAACCACGTTACCTCACTGGTGTTCTTCTTGTTTGCTCTGGCAAGAACAATGTTCATTGCATCAGGCATGATGTGGATTGAAGTTTTGTCTTTTTCCCAGGCTTTGCCATACGCTTGCTAAAAAACAAAATGAAGTTGTTAGTTGATATCTATAGTTTAAATAAGGGATCATTTTGTTCTGTTTTATCATGAAGGCCTTTTCAGTACCTTATTCATAATCTGGTTGTTTGCTGTGGCCAGCATCAGATCCATGGACTCCATATTCTTAGTGAATTTGAAGTTGCTTGGATGTTGACGGTATCCGTGCTCACTGATGATGCGGCCAGCTGTTTTTGCTTTCTCAACGTCCAACGACCCAATAGGTACCCATCCAATTCCTTTAATGAAGCTTTCATACTCACTCTTATACTGGTTCTGTTGGAAAATTTACAGGAACAATTTTACTTTATGATGAATCATGGATTCATACAATGATTTGTGTAGTTTATGAACATTTTTAGGTTTTAATTTCATACATCACTGGCGATAGTCTGCATGTTACGAGCAAGTTGAAGGTTCATGGCATCCGGGAGGAGAGCATAACTGTGCTGGATCTGTCTGTATCCAGCCATAGTCTGAGCTTTTGAGGCCTGCTTGGCATGGACAACACTCATCATGTCTACTGGTGAGTGATACTTCAGCTTGGACTTGTGGTAGTCCTTCTTGTAGTTCTTGTCACTCTGCAACCTGGCTATTTCCATGTAGTGAACCAGCAGAGGGTCATCCTGGATGCTGCGGAAGCCAACATGTTGGCCTCTAGCCTTCTCGTATGCCAACTTGTACTTGTACTGTGAGGGCAAACACATTTTTTTTGTGATTCACAGGGACTGCAGTTTTAGGATTTAAAATTCAGCATATGCATTGGGAAAAGTGATGTCAAACAACAGGTTTCTCACAACTTACATTACTGGCAATGGTGGTGCCAGACTTGGCAGCCAGAATTGAGATAGCGTCAGCCTTGAGGTGGTAGCCCTTGTTGGCCATCGCAACAACACCAGCTTTGTAAAGTTTCTGTAAAAGAAGTAGAATTAACATAGCATGAGACCATATCAGTGTTTCAGCTGTTAAAAGTAGTCAATCTACTTTTATAAAAAATTATTCTTACATTGCTCATGGTGAGAGCATTAGCCTTGGCCAGGACGATCTCAGGAGAATCTGGCATGACATGGACGGTCAGCTTGTCTTTGTCCCAAGCTGCAGTGTATGCTTGCTGTAAATAAAGACACACAATGAATGAATAAATGATGAGGATTATGAAGAAGATTATCAATACATCTTCTCCCTCGTTTTAGAGCATGCTGTACCTTGTTCATGATCTTGTTGTTGGCAGTCGCCAGAGCCACGTCCATGGAGTCCATCAGCTTTTTGAACTTGAAGTTGGAGGGATGAGTGCGGTACTTTTGCTCACTCAAAATCTGACCACCAACTTTGGCAGTCTCAACTCCAATTGAGCCAATTGGGACCCATCCAATGCCTCTGATGAAGTTGTTCCACTCTGATTTGTATTCACACTAAAAAATAAATATTACGTCTCATAGTTAAATGGAACATCAAACCAAAATCAATTGTTGCCCTCCTTTAAAATCAACAATACTATTGAGGGTGTTGCACGGGAGGGATTAACTTACATCACTGGCCTGGGTGTTCATGGTGCGAGCCAGCGCAAGGTTCAAGGCATCCGGGAGGAGAGCGTAACTGTGCTGGATCTGTCTGTATCCAGCCATAGTCTGAGCTTTTGAGGCCTGCTTGGCGTGGACAACACTCATCATGTCCACAGGGGTGTGATACTTGAGCTTGGCCTGTTGGTAGTCCTTCTTGTAGTTCTTGTCACTCTGCAGCTTGGCCACTTGCATGTAGTGAACCAGCAGAGGATCATCCTGGAGGCTACGGAAGCCAACATGGTGGCCTCTGGCCTTCTCGTATGCCAACTTGTACTTGTACTGTAAAAGTGAATGAAACATTTTAACACATTTTTGAGGCTGCAGCAGATTAACTTCCTAATATGTGAATGAAATGTATGTCAAACTTACATTACTGGCAATCTTTGTTCCAGACTTGGCAGCCACAATTGGGATGGCGTCAGCCTTGAGGTGGTATCCCTTGTTGGCCATCTCAACAACACCAGCTTTGTAAAGTTTCTGTCAAGTAAGACATTTTGACGTGAATAAAAAAAGATTAAAGGACATAAAATGAGTAAAAAGTATGTTTTCTAGTGTTATGTAATTCCTTACATTGCTCATGGTGAGAGCATTAGCCTTGGCCAAAACGATCTCAGGAGAATCTGGCATGACATGGACGGTCAGCTTGTCTTTGTCCCAAGCTGCAGTGTATGCTTGCTGTAAACAAAGACAACAGAACAAAAAAGGAATGATTATGGTAAAAAACTAAATTATTTTTACTTTGTGACTCTCCTTCCAAATTTGAACATGTTTCACCTTGTTCATGATCTTGTTGTTGGCAGTAGCCAGGGCAATGTCCATGGAGTCCATCAGCTTTTTGAACTTGAAGTTGGAGGGATGAGTGCGGTACAAGTTGTCGCTCTGAATCTGACCACCAACTTTAGCAGTCTCAACTCCAATTGAGCCAATTGGGACCCATCCAATGCCTCTGACAAAGTTGTTCCACTCTGATTTGTATTCAAACTAACAAAGGGGGGGCATTATGCAAATTAGTTATGAAGTTGAGCTCAAACTTCAGCATAAATAAAGCATACAAATGGAGATTCAATAAGGTTGCATTCAAAAACGTTGTTTTAATCCTGAAAGGCAAAATGCAGTGATAAAACTCACATCACTTGTCTGCACATTCATGGTGCGACACCGCTGCATTTGCAGGTTGTCTGGTAGAAGCATGTAGCTGTGTGGGACCTTTCTGTACCCAGTATTGGTCTGAACAGCTGAGGCCTGCTTGGCGTGGACCACACTCATCATGTCCACGGGGGTGTGATACTTCAGCTTGGACTTTTGGTAGTCCTTCTTGTAGTTCTTGTCACTCTGCAGCTTGGCCACTTCCATGTAGTGGACCAGCAGAGGATCATCCTGGAGACTGCGGAAGCCAACGTGGTGGCCCCTGGCTTTTTCATAAGCTTTCTTGTATTGGACCTGAAAGTAAGATTAAGGGGTAAGTAACCTGTAGATGATATTTATGGTTTAAGTCGGAAAGTAAGTTTTTACTTACATTGCTGGCAATATGTCTGCCATGCTTGGCATGCAGAATGGAAATAGCATCAGGCTTCATGTCATATCCCTTTGCAATGGTTTCCAGCCACTTGTGCTTGTAGTGACTCTGTAGATAAAGAGCAAAGTGTTTGAAAATGTTTTGTGCACACATGTTGACATGGAAGATTATTTTTTTTAATATTTTGAGCTCTAACCTCGCTAACGGTCTGAGCATTGAACTTAGCCTGGAGGAACTCAGGGCTGTCAGCTGGCAGATGATAGGTGTGCATGAACTTCTCGCCAGAAGCTTTGTATGAAGCCTTGAGGGAATGAAAAAGATCGGTCATACGTAATATTTGGAAGGTTCTTGTAGAAATTTGGTTTGACATGCATGAATATGTTAACAAATCTTAATGGACACAAATGAAAATGTAAATATAGAGTCCAGTCTTACCTTGTCCATAATCTTTGAATTGGCCATAGCCAGAACCATGTTCATGTTATCAGTCTTGCTTGTGAACTTGAAAGTACTGGGGTGCTGTCGGTAGTTTACTTCATCAAGGGCGAATTTAGCAGCTTTGGCCTTCTCAACATCCACAGAACCAATAGGAACCCAACCGATTCCTCTAGAGAAGTTGTTGTAATCGGACTTGTAGAGATTCTGTGGGTTTAAAGACAAAAACAGGAACTTGTACTTTGTACTCAGGTACAGGTCAATTGCTCTGCTGCTGGATATTTCTGTAATTTAGAATCACACCATGATAGATTACAGGTGTAAAGGTAAAGCATACATCACTCTGAATGTTCATCATGCCGCGACACTGCTGCAAGTGCAGGTTGTCAGGTAGAAGCAAGTAGTTGTGTGGGATCTTCCTGTATCCAGCATAGGTCTGCACTTTTGAGGCCTGCTTGGCATGTGCAAGACTCATCATGTCCACCGGGGTGTGATACTTCAGCTTGGACTTTTGGTAGTCCTTCTTGTAGTTCTTGTCACTCTGCAGCTTGGCCACCTCCATGTAGTGAACCAGCAGAGGATCGTCCTGGAGGCTGCGGAAGCCAACGTGGTGGCCCTTTGCCTTCTCATAAGCCAGTTTGTACTTGTACTATATAAGAGAAAAATATTAGTGATGACTCGCTGAATTCAGTACACTTGCAAAGGCGCATAATGAGAATATTACAACTTACATTGCTGGCGATGTCTCTGGAGGACTTTGCTGCTACGACAGCGATGGAATCTGCCTTCACATGATGTCCTTTGAGCAGATCTTGACGATGGGCATAGGTGTAATAATTCTAAATAAAATAATTCATAGTGCTGTTAGAAATTTTGTGAGAACTTAATTCCTCTATTAATTTTTCATGTGCTCAAAAGCACACAAAAAACCACCAGAGAAAAATCTTTCACTCACCTGGCTGATGTTGACAGCGTTGTATCTGGCTTGCAGCAGTTCGGGGGAATCAGCTGGGAGGTGGTATGTGTGCATGAACTTCTCTCCACTGGCTTTATACTCTTTCTGCAGAGTTATAACAAATAGATGTCTTAATGTCTAGTCTGATGAGGAATTCAAATGCTTAAAGACAAATAAAAGATTTATACAAGAGCAAAACAATCGCAATTATGATGTTCACTCCTTTACCTTATTCATGATCTTGGCATTGGCCTTGGCCAGCTCCATGCCCATGGAGTCAGTTGAACTGGTGAACTTGAAATTTGAAGGGGGCTGACGGTACTTTGTCTCATTCAGAGCTGCTGCTGCTGTCTTGGCCTTTTCCACCTCCAAAGACCCAATGGGAATCCAGCCAGTGCCCTTGACTGAAGTCTCATATTCCTGCTTGTAGTTAAACTATAAATGGACGAGACAAGGGGACATGTTTAGCCTGAAACCTGTGAGAACCCCCAGTATTTGCCAACTTTATGACATAACAGACCCCTTAAGGAAATCCAACTTACATCACTTGCATTGTAGTTCATGTTTCGAGCGAGGCCCACACTCATTGAGTCAGGTAGAAGACAGTAGTTATGGTGATGCTGCTTGTAGCCAGCATAGGTCTGCACTTTTGAGGCCTGCTTGGCGTGTACCAGACTCATCATGTCTACAGGGGTGTGATACTTCAGCTTAGCCTTGTGGTAGTCCTTCTTGTAGTTCTTGTCACTCTGCAGCTTAGCCACCTCCATGTAGTGAACCAGCAGAGGATCGTCCTTGAGGCTGCGGAAGCCAACGTGGTGGCCTCTGTCTTTCATATAAGCCTTCTTATACTGGACCTAGAGGTTCAAAAGCAAATCTAAGTTTTTAGCATTCAAAGAGTTTTAATAATTACATCATCAAACACAAAGTAGGTGGTACAAGACAATAGACACTGCCTCTCTTCTCTGCTGTTTACAATAATTGCTGCTATTGATCTTAAGTCACTTTAATCATCACTTGTCACTTTATCTTGCCATTCCCTGCACATACTGTCTCAATTCCATGCATAATTAACTTCATTATTCATTTTGTACTTGTATATACCCCCTATTTTTATTTATCTTATCTAATCTATTCTGTTTAATTTGCATTTTGTATGACCTTCTTGCTTGTCTGTGCTGCTGCAATGCCCAAATTTCCCCTGTGGGGATCAATAAAGTACTATCCTATCTATCCTATCCTATTCTAGACATATTAAAGGGAATGCTAACTTAGTTTTGTGTGGATATCCCATCAGTATTTTCTAATTAAGCATACTCCTCTTTGCTGCAATGCTGACCAAGAAAGTTATAATAAAGGACATGATGTATTATACGGTAGCAGCAGCAGAATGTGTCTTGTAGGGTTGTCATGATACCAGAATCATTTCTGTTTAGATTCCATGGCAACAAAAAAGAAGTCCCATGTACAGAAAATGTGGACTTTTTCTTGTATTTGTCTAACCCAGCAGCTCACAGTGCTGCTACAGAAAAAGGTATGGACCAATTTTAAAGCATTCCATCTCAATTATCACTCATAGTCTGGTGATGTCTGTATCTGCAGAGAGTCTACTCATGTTCGGACTGTGTGAGAGCTGCTGTGTGACAGAGGGCGGAGCAGAGACACCCTCAGCGCACAGCATGAAGTCAAGGCTTTGGATGAAAGAATCCAGCTTCTTCCCGCCCGTTTGTGTGGCTATGTATGTTTTTATAGGTTCTATCTATGTATAAAAAAAGCAAAATTTGCCTTTTATATGGAGTTTGTGAATGATACGTGGACCCAGCCCTCCCAGGAAACTTACATCACTGGCAGCATGTCTGGCAGCTTTGGCGACGACAACTGGGATTGCATCCGGCTTCATGTCATAACCTTTAGCAATCAACTCATGCCAGGCGTGCTTGTAGGCTTTCTGAAATGACAGATTGTAGAAATAAATAAAACAGATACAATACAGACTGAATAAGTTTGGTTAACTTCACAGATTTACCCACACTTTATCTCCTAAAGTTTATGTTGCATCATACACAGCTACATATTTAACTACATTACATTTAGTGGAATATCAAATTGTGTGCAAAAAGTGTGCTGGGATAAAAAAATGTTTTTGCTGATTTGTAAAAGTGATTTCTCAGTATTTCTTTGCCTTACATTGCTGATGTTATAGGAATTGCACTTGGCCTGGAGGAACTCAGGCACATCAGGAGGGAGAGAGTACTTCTGATGGATCTCTTCCAGACCTCTCTTGTAGAAACGCTGGAGGGCGAAAAAGAAATAGGAGGTGATGTCATGTCTGCTGTTCATCTCAAAGTAAAGATTAAAACAATCTCTTCTCAGGTGCTCTCAAGTTCTCAAGTGCAAATTGGAAACGTTTTTCCTGCAGGAGTAGAGTCAGAGTGGCTGTAGACTCACATCACTCCTCTGAAGCTGGTTGACTTTGGCCTGCAGTTGGATGGGGTGATCGTCAATAGCAGTGAAGGGGATCGTGTCTGGAGCTTGTCTGTATTTTTTCTGTAGGAAACAAGGAGAATTAACGCATGATGTTACAAATATTGCCAATATCTATAATTATCTTTATTATATTTAGTTATTAACGACTATAAATCCTTCATCAGGAAATGGCGCTGTTGGATACATACCTCGCTAAGGATCTCAGCAGCTTTCTTATTCTTTTCCACTTCCATTGAGCCAAAGGTGATCCATGGGGAACCCTTGGTGTAGCTGTTGTAGTCAGACTTGTACTCATTCTTAGAAGTGAGGAAACAAAAACAAACATGGTGTCAATTAACATATTTTACAACAACTGTGCAAGAAGGCATTGGATATTATAATTTTTGCCTTTATTTGATACGACAGATGAAGAGAGACAGGAAATGTTTGGAGGAGAGAGGAGGAGGTGACATGCAGCGAAGGGCCGAGGCCTGACCCGAACCCAAATCCTCTGCGACGAGGACTATAGCCTCTGCACATGGGGAGCGTGACACAACCGCTAGGCTGCAGGCGCTCCCCTCGGTTAGATATTATATTTAAAATCAAACTGTCAACAATACAGGGTTGTAAAGTCTGTCTAGACTCACATCACTCTGGATGATGTTGGCTTTCTTGGCCAAATCCAACAGCACGGTATCGGGGGGGAGGAAGAAGTTGGTACTGATGCTTCTGTATCCGGTCATGCTGCTGATGGCCTGGGATTTCTTGGCCAAGGTGATGGACATCATATCCAGTGGTGTATGATACTTGGTCTTTATCTTTTCATAGTCCTTCTTATACTCACGCTGTGGAGATATCATGGAGAGATTGCTCAAGAGTGGCCTCTTATTAGGTCCATTAAATTAATATTAAAGGACATGTTCAATATGAAGGCCTACAGCGAGCTAAGTACTTACATCACTCTGGATTTTTGCCACATGAACAGAGTGCAGGATTTTAGGATCGTCATTAATGCTGAGAGCTCCAACCATCTGCCCCTTGTTCTTCTCATATTCCTTCTTATATTTGACCTGTGGAGACAAACAGAAAGTTATCCGACACAAGGTTAACAAAAAGTAGATGGCTAAATAATGAAAGATCAAAGTAATCAATAAATGCAGTAATCAGAAAGGCAGAAACTGTAGCGTGCTTACATCACTGGCAATGTTGGTGTGAGCACGAGCAGCAAGGATCGAGATTGCATCACCCTTGACCTCAAACTTTTTCGCTTTGTCTTTCTCCCACTCGTACTTATAACAATTCTGCAAGAGGAAAATCACAGTGAGGTACACAATGCAAACCAAATAACAGCAGACAGAAAATCGGTTGTTATAGCTTGAAATTAATAGGATTCAGAAATGAGCCGTGACTTACATCACTGAGGTTAAAAGCGTTTACTCTGGACTGGATGAAGAAGGGATAGTCTGGCGGCAGGCTGTTCTTGACCTTAATTTTCTCGTAATCGGCGTGGTAGTTCAACTGCAAAAAGAGCAAAGGGATACAATTATTCTTTAAGTTAAAATAACAACAACATCTCTCCTCCGTGTAAAACATCAGTGCTCATTTTAAAGCTGCTGTAAGGGTTTTATTGCTGGTTATAAAAGGAACTGAAATTCATAGTGATGCCTGTTTGTGACCTACAAAAGCAAACAAGACCATCAGGAACAAGATTGACCATCTCTTTTTCTTTTTTTAAAGGTTTACATCTATATATATATATATATATATATATATATATTTTAGCCTTTATTTGGAAATAGGACAGTGGAAATAGTCAGAAATCAGGGTGAAAGAGAGTAGGGAATGACATGTGGGAAATGAGCTACAGGCCGGATTGAACCCGGGCCGCCCACTTCAAGGACAACAGCCTCTGTGCATGGGGCGTGAACTAACCACTAGGCCACCAGCGGCCCTACATAGTACATTTTTATCATTGTAAGTACTGCCACAGGGTAGGTGTCAGACACAGTACCTGACAGTACCCTGCAGAAAACAGCCTTTGTGGACATTTTCCATGGCAAAGATATTTAACTGTTAAAGACAGCAGGGAAAACCCTGTCTACATGTGCAGTACAGGATCAACAAAGAAATAAGAGGCACCGATTTCTACACAGGGGTCACCCAAAAAAGATTTGTGCAAGGTGTTTTCTGACTTCCCATCACCAGAGGGCAGCAGTGCATCATCTGGGCTCCATCTGAAATATCTTAACTGTCCCTTTCCCTGCCTCCCCAGCCCCTCTCCGATCACAGGGTTTATTCTGGGCCAACTGAATGCTTGTTGCTATTTATACTACAGAGAGATGGCTCTCCAGTTTCCATGGTGCCCACAGAAAGACAGCTGGGCTACGTGGATGATTGGGCACATTTTAACGTGATCTGCACATCCAGGAGAATTTGATCTCGACTGTAGAAGGTGATTGTAGCAATTTCAGTCAATAATGGACAATTTTAAGAAACAGATATGTTCACATCAACATTTTATGAATCACTGTAACTTACTTTAACATGCAGGAAGAAATCATCAAAACGATAGCCGTACTGATAAGTAATATAACCTTTAAATACAAGTGATGATCCAATGGGAGGTGTATTCAAATGTATAGTGTATCGGTACCACGAGAGGTGGTCCATGCAGTCATACTTACATCACTTAGCTGCTTGGCGTTAATGGCGGCTTGAACCTGAACTGGTGAATCAACTACTTGTGTAAATTTCACTGTGTCGGGATGTTGCCGGTAAACTTTCTGCAAACCGTAAGACAGATAGAAAGATTTTATGATCAACAAACATCAAACAAGAGGAATGTCAAACCTAGAAGTAGAAGTATTCAATCAAAACTGACATCTTTACACTGCTGAAGCTTCTTTGTGGCTTCATACTCGGGCGTCATTGTTTGAGGGAAGAAGCATCTTGTTTTAATGTCTTCGTACTCAGATTTGTACAGTTGCTGCAAGACATGAAACGCGGCTTGTGAGTAAAGACAAGATCAATTCAAACACTGGTTTTAAAATTGCCAAAAAAATGTGAGAAGAATTCAAAATGACTCACCTCATTCTTCATTTCCTCCATCTTCTGGCAATGAATCATGTAAAGATCTTCATAGCTGCCAATGTAGTGGCCCTTCACCTCACTTTCATACTTATCTTTGTAACGTGCCTAAAAAAGGAAATAAAACGATTTTAAAGAACAATAGTACTATTTGTTTTTGTCAAAAAAGTATTTAAACCTGTAATTTTTCTTACATCAGAGAATTTCTTAAGTACTGAGTCCATCTGAAATTTGGGCGTGTCACAGTAGTTGATGCTGAAACCCCGGGATTTCTCATAGCTGGCCTTGTATACTTTCTGCAAAGAACACAGAAAGGAATTTTAACAGGAAACAAAATACAACAAAACACTTAACACAGAGAAACAGAGAAACAGCTTAACTAAAAATGTGTTCAAATGGATTTCAAACTGTAAACTCACTCACGACTGTAAACTGCTCTCACTTCAGTACTGTTTAAAGGTCACATATTGTTCACAATACACTTTACCATGTTTTTTGAACATTTATCCGGTTCTAAGTCTGTCTACAAACCCCCCCAATTATGAGAAAAGTCCATCCTCTCCGTCTTTTATCTGCTCAACTTTTCAGAAAATGTGTGCTCAAAAAGGGCGTTTGGCAATTTTCCCTTCATGACATCACAAAGGGCAGTAACCCCTCCCCCAGGTGGATGACACTCCCACAGCTAGGTGTTTGTTCTGACCTCTGAGTCTGCCTTCTCACTGTGAACAAGAATAGGGCATGGTGCAAGAAAGTCCAAGCCACCTAAGCCCTTCCAGAGAGGGGCGTGGTCATTTACATTTACATTTAAAGGTACAGACACAGAAACAGCCTGTTCTGAGCAGGGCTGAAATAGAAGGGTTTATAGGCATGATCAAATATAGGATCAGAGTGGATTTAGAACAAGAAACCTCCCAGATATGTTTTTGGGAGCTCTGAGACTTATTGAAACTGGTTGAATTGGAGGATAATGTGTGACTTTTCAATGTAAATTGAGAGATTTTTCCCAAATTAAAAATGAAGGAAATCCACTCAAAAAGAGTCTGTAAGACGCTCTAAATAAAATCCAAAACCACCTCAATCACTTTGGCAGCTTTTTTTTTGGTTCATGGTCTAACAGGAACTTATGCATGCAATATCTCTGACAACACAGAAAACACACATGGAGACCATTAATGCTAATTTTTTATACTTCTGTACTGCCTCAAAAACAGTCTCTTATGTTGTCCTAAAAAAATACCCTCTAGCATCCATCATTTTTCATCAAACCAGCTGTGATTTGAAAAAAATATTTTTTTGGCCTTGGTTTTCTCGACACCTACGTCACTGAGGATGGTGCCGGCGTATCTGAGCTGTCTGAGGAGAGGATTCTCTGTGGCGGGGAGCGTGTTGTAGTCGGCCTGCGCTTTCGTCTTCTCGTATTCCTTCTTGTATTGGACCTGACAATGAAACATGGAGAAATGTGTGAGTAAGAAAAATACAAAATTGTGTTCATGCACTTAATTCGTGTGGTAAGTCATAAAGAAGGGACAAAAAAAGCACTTGTACAGTCATTCATTGTGAGAGAACACATCTTTATAGTTTTCCTGAAATGACGCATGTTTGAATTGTGTGTGAACATGTGGGCGTCTATGAGGTATACAGCAGCAGAAAAGCCTCTTCACATCGTCTGATATGTTGTCACTGGGTTCAAGAGAAACGACAGGCTTTCACAGTAAGAGTGAACCAAATGCAGATCCCTCAGTCACGCAGTGTACGAGTGTGGGCACAATACACCGGGTCCCTGCGTCAGAGTGGACTCGCTGCATTGACTCATACTCTGCTCTGAGACACGGGTCAACTCTTTGTCGTGTCTTCCACATGAGATAGTACGTATAAAAATAATCCATCACAATTGCGTTTGTGTGTGTGTGTGTGTGTATGTGTGTGTTGTGTGTGTGTTTACTCACCTCACTAATAGCAATGCGAGACTTCTTGTTTGTGTCGTAAACGGGCGTGTCTGTTTGCATGAAATAAATTTGGTCTTTTTCGTCTTCAAATGCTTGCGTGTATTTCTTCTACAATAACAGAAAAAGGATTTACAGTTAGTTGTAAAAGAAATGAACAGTTGAATACCATTCTGGTTATTCTGTGTCCTAAGTGTTTTCAAAGCTCTTACACTGCTGAGGTTGTCCATCGCCACCCTGGCAATGGCCACATCGAAATAGGGCGTCTCGCACCACTGTCCCTTCACATTTTTATTGTAATCTTCTTTGTACTTCAGCTGTGGAAAACAAAACACATTCAGTATTAGAGTATTTGTATAATGAGATCCGGGACACTTTGTTTGAAGAGAAGAAAATGACTGGAGGAACTTTGAGCATTTCATTTTGAAGTCATTTTAATCTCTTTGACTTTATCATAAATCTTCTCTCTGCTATGTTTGTGCTCCTTTGTCTTCATGCTTGGACTTCATCTAAACTGTACCCTTATATCAGCCTCTTTTGTTGTTTTGATTTCTGCATTGCATTCTGGGAAACCCTGGTTTTGTTTTATCTGTGAAAGCAGATTGTCACTCTATTTTAAAATGTGCTATCTAAATAAGGTTATTATTATCATTATTATTTTATTCTGTTTGATAAAACACATAACAGGGAATGACTGGAATCCCTGTCATTTCAAACTATTGTTAGCCTCTCCCCTCCAGCTTAGTATGACCATTAATATCAGAGAGCAGGTGGCCCGTTATTCCCCACAGTGGTTTGGGATTTGTTAGCCTCTGAGGGCACTGTTTCCATTTGTGCACTGTGCAAACTTCAAGCTCTAGTGTCTTAAATTAACCCTGCTACTTAAATATCTTTAACAGATCAAATGTAACAATGCAGGGGCATGTCCAGACTGGGGTGGCCCACCTGGGGCACTGACTTATAGGGGGCTGGCTTTAAGTTTGTGCACAAGTTTGTGAAATTCAAATATTTACCCTTTCATTCCTCATTACTGATCTGTACTTGTAAATAATTCAATTTTGCAACTTCTAATCTCTTAGATAAAATAAAGAAAATGTACAAAGTCACAATTTCTAGTATTTGGAAAACTGCATGTACTCTCTTGCACACTGTCTAAAAAATTATTTAATTGGCAATGTTTTGGTACCCAAAGATTGCGAGTAAGTCCTTTTTAAGTTAGGCAGAGTGCAAGAATATGCATGCAAGTCTTTATGGACTATTTCCTCTCCTAAGAAGCTGTCTTATGAAATAGATGTGCTCAGTATTACTTTACAGCTGAGGTTTCAGCAGCCTGTTGCTACACAGCTAGAATAGTGTATTTGAACTTAAGTCCTGCCTCTGATAAGATAAATAGCCAATCATTGTTTGGGATTTTTGGGGTGGCCAACTAGTTTTTAAGGGGGGGGCCCATGCCACCCCTCTGGACACGCCCCTGTCACATTGATTCTACTTTATCCCACATCTCCAAGTGTTATGTGGGTAAACAAATCTACAGGAATAAATACGACAGCAAGGGCTGCAAAATCCACTGCAGATTTATGAAGTGTATTGTACTGTGTTATTTATTAATAATAACAAGAAAAGAGAATATAGAAGAATATAGAAGAAAGATGTCATTATGCATTACGTGGACCATAAGCAAGCTTTTAAAAAAACAGGCAAATTCTTACTTTGCCTACTTTTATCTTTTATTTCTTTCTCTATTGGTTTTACACTTGTGAAATATGTTTGAGAGCGACTTCAAACCCTTTCTGCTTACATCACTGCGCTGATTGGCCACTCTCCTCGCCAGCTCCACCTCAGGAGGATCAGCCAAAGAGGTGAACTTGGCCGTGCGTTCAACGTGACCCTTCTTGTACTTAACCTGCAGGATGAGAATCAAAGTGAGAGCTTGACTTAGCAGAGCTGGTTCATTCTTTAACATCAATAGCTGACCTTAGAGTAGTCTGCCTCATACAGATCTTATCTACATTGATTGGTGACTTTTCCTACATCAGCAGAAAACGCAAAAGGCAATTGTGTTCCTCAGGAAAGAGGGGCACAAATGGCCATTATAATTGCAATCACAGTTTGTATGTTACATCTGAATCAGCACTTATTAATGGACCCTGAAAAGAAAGAATATATTTATTGGCAATTTTTTAGGTGGAGCATAAATGGCAATTTTAACTGCCCCACTATACAAGTGGAAATTGCCACTTATTTTATATTACATCTGACTCAGCAGAAGTGGCTGACCCTAAGAGGATGAGAAATATATGCTAAATGGATTTGAGCTTATATAGCGCTTTTCTGGTCTTCTGACTACTCTAAGTGCTTTTACACCGCAGGTCACACCTACACATTCACAACCAATCAGACACTGATGGCAGAGGCTGCTATGTAAAGTGTCCAGCAGAAGTAAATAATCCCATTCACAAAATTCATAGCAATTTGGGGTTAAGTGTCTTGCCCAAGGACAAATCAGACATGCGGCTGCAGGAGCTGGGGATCAAACCTACGACTCTATCAACTGAGCCACAGCGGCCTCAAATATATAAAATGTGCTTGTCTCTGTGGTAGACAACGAATGGAAAAATTACGGCAAAATCCTTTGTTCTACATTGTTAAATTTATAATACATTGTTGCATAATATGACATTATAAGAAACTGAACCAAAAAAACGGCATTGGAAATATAATCAGTAGCTATAGATACCAATCATAGATTGTGATATATGTTGTTTTTTTAGAACGACCTGCTACTAAGGCAATTAAAACTCTCCTACATCTGAAAACTATGTCATGGTATACATTATGTTGTCAAATTGATCAAAACACAAATACATAAAAAGGTTCTTATTCCAGATTTATACAGTACGTCACAATATTGTGTTTTTCATCTTATCACACACGTGTCCAAAATCTTAATGTCGGTCGACATGCATTTGCACAGACTTCAGAAGAAAACAGGAAGTAGTCAGGAAACTCAACTTACATCACTGAGGACTTCCTGAGCCTTGGCCACCCTGCGCAGCTCGGGGCTGTCGCTGTACGGGTAGAACATGGTCTTCTCCACATCCCAGTCCTCAGTGTAATGTTTCTGAGCGAGAGAGGGGGGAGGGGGTCATTTAGTAAACGGTATAGTTAGATGTTTTTCTAATGTCAGAGAAATGTTTCTTCTGTACATAAAGTGCTGCTTACTTTGCTGTAGTTAGCAGCATTCTTCACAGCCAGGACCAGCTCAGGAGCATCAGGAGGCAGCATGTACCTGTCCTTAGTCTCATCCCACTTCTGCCTGTACAGAACCTATGAGGGATGAGCACAGCACAGGTGTTATATATCACAAATATTTGTTTAAAAGTATCAGTACATTGTTATATATGTAGATAGCTCACCTTGCTAATCAGATCAGACACATGCTTGACGTGGATGACCTCCCTGGCCTCCCCGTCGTACAAGCTTTGGTTGCGGGCCTTATTTCCCTCCATGCGATATTTAACCTGATGATGATACATGGAATAAATTATTTTTCATAACTAGAGCAAAAGCAAATCATTTATTCATCCTGGTTGCAATGTTGTTAATATCTTAACTTAGCCTGAGGAAAAATCATAATGGACTGGTTCAGAAATCACTGCTCCACTTTCATGTTGACACATTTGAGCTACAATATTTCTGCCCTCAAAATATTTTCTTTTAAGTAATGAGACATACAGTGATACTAAAACATGGGCCCAGTTATTCAAAAGTAACCAAACAGGACTAAAGCTATTTGATAGGATCAAGTCTTCAAATGGAGGTGCTCATAAGGAGAAAAAAAACATTACATAACTGAATAAGATCAGGTAATTCAGTCCTGGTTATCATCCCCATAAGTAGGATGACTTTGATTAAAAGAATTATCAGGATTATCCTGGTCCCCGCAGAGAGCTGGATTCAGGATGGATTACAGGGAAGACTTTGAAAATGCTCAGAACCATTTTTTACAAGGTAGATGATATTTAAAGACATTTAAAAAGAAAAAAGAAAACATATGCCCTAAAATTCTGTCTTGTTTTGGTGTCAAAGCTTCAAAAATAAAATGTATATTTTAAAGTAACTGTTGGGATCTTTTGATTTGTGTAGATTTTGGTGAACCCCTGTGGACAAAGTATGTAATGTGAAGTCCCCTTAAGACGACTGGAAATCCTGATTTGGAAATCCTTTAAGGTTTGTATCTAGATCAGGTACATCTATTCCAGCTTTCTTAAATTTTTTTTTAAAAAAACGTTGTCAAAGTGAGCTGGATTATGTGATCCTGGATATTAAACTGGATTAAACCAGATTAAACCTTTTGAATAACCAGGGCCCTTGTCTTCAAAAAAAAAAAAACTTTACCCAGCATGAATTGTGGGAGTTTATAATCCAAAAAGATTGTGGTACCTCACTTAGCTGCTCCTGGGCCTTCCTGATGCGAATCATTTCAGGACTATCAGTGATGATTGCAGGAGGCTGCCCTCGGGTCAAGTCGTAAGCATGCCTGTACTTGTTCTGTTGAAGAGAGAGATAATCGTATTGAGCACGGAGTCATGAAATACTCTGCAACCAATTAAGTACTGTATCTGAGGTGAAAGAAAACATTAATAACTGTTTGAATCTCAAATATATTTATATGAAAGTGAGTTATCTGGCTTGAAATACACAGTGAATAAGTGTTACACATAATGCTTACGTGACTGTACTGCTCCATCATCTTCTGGCTGTGAGCCAGGTATGGAGTCATGAACTTGGAGCTATCCACTTTGACCTTCTTCCTGACTCTCCTGGTAGGCAAACCGGCCTGGAGGAGGACAGAGTGAAAAACTATTAACCATCTGCCTAACGAAATGGCCTACGTCTCTCAATTTCAGAAAACATGTAGGCCACATAGGAAGTCAAACTACAACTAACAGGGCTATCACCAAAGACAAGGAGAAGGATGCAATGTCAATTCAACAGAACAAATAATCGAGAAGGTGATTTGCAACTTTATCAGAAACACTATTGAAAATCGAATCATATCGATACATGTCTCAATACAACGACAACCAAAATAGAAGTCCTTGGTATCTAATAATTGATCATTTCTAGTGTTTTTTCATTAACAAAGATTGCAGACAAACACGTGCACACTGTCTAAATTGCACAAACACTTGGGAAACTTTTGTGTGACCAAACATTGCCGACGTATTTGTGCAATTTAGACAGCGCTCTCTCTCTCTCTCTCTCTCTCTTCTGCTCCTGGCAGCTTTTGATTTAAAATATAACTGAAGCTCTGCAGTTATTTTAAAGCTTCAACACGTTCTGATACTAGTGATTATAATTTAACAAAGACTTGTATGACTTTAAAACAAGTGGTAACCAAACAAACTAACAACTTGCTTGGTGAAATCGGGACTTTGCCACACCGATGATGATTTGTGTGACTCTGATGTTTACCTTTAACTCTGATTACTCACCTTCAACAAATGAAACGGCACATGCTGAGACTCAAAGGGTTTTAAGTGAAACCCAAATATATTCTACACACAGACCTGGCTGTTAGGATAATGACAGGATATACAGCATGTACTCAGATAAAAATAGATGAAGGGTGACTACAGGACTGGGAACAACTACACATGTAAAGGAAAGCGCTTAATATACATTAACAGCTTCAAAGTTTCCATAAGGTGCTTCCCTACATGCAATGGCCAGGCTCAGCACATATAAATATACCTAAGAGTTACAGTGTAGCATCTGTTGAGACGGGAAGCATTACAAAAAAGAAGCCATGTCTTCTTGACAGGTACAATAACATTTGGTTTTGAATTGTTAAAAGCTGCAACAGACTTTGATGCACATGCAGAATTTTCTGCAGTAACTTAAGAGGCTTTATTGACAAACCTGACTGCAAAGAAAGAGAGACACTGCCTTTAATGGAATAAGCAGACAGCAGGAAAATCCAGACATGCATGCACATAGGGAGGGAGATGCAACATTGTCAAGACAAGGGCGGGATATCCTGCTCAGGTTGGTACTGGTGTCCCTTGGGAGGGAGGTGCTTTACCTGAATGGACTGACTCTTTTGTTCACCGACAGTCGTGGTGGATGTTGTTATCTCCTCATAATACTATAAATATAGGAAACACTCTGGGGTTTTCAAAACTGCCAGAACAATTGAATGGAGAAACAGCACAGTATTTTGTTTTTCTCACAGGATTGAGGTTGATTTTTCCACAGCTCTGGTGCTGATCTATCAGTCCCACTTCTAGTAATATAATCTAAGCTGCACTACATTAGTAGCTGTTCTGCTCTCAAACAACCTATACTCTCCATAAAAGTGTTGTCATCAGGTATCTCTGTGCCTAACCTGTAACAAACAGACTTCTTCTGCACACAGATTGTGTCACTGAAAGAATAAGGATAAACCCCGAGGTGAATGTGTCGTAAGTGTTCATGACTGTCTGTATTCAGAGGAAACAGTAGCATTTATATCCTCTGTGTTATGTGAGCCTGACTGTTTCTAACTCTGTGACCAAGTCTATAAAAACCAGACACTCACATGACTACAATCCTATTCTTAAATTGTCATTAAATATACTTTTATCCCTGTTGTCTGGTGCCACAGCACACAGCAAGTATACAAGCTGTTTAGACAGCTTTGTAATCTCCATGTCTGTTCACACACAGCCCCTAACAGATTTTTCTCGCTAATCTCGAGCAACATCTGGCCATGCAGATAGTTGTGGTTATATTTGACGACATTTGGAGACCTCTGTCGCTGAGGTTTGTGCCTCCAATCTACGACAGTGATGGGGATTTCATTGCGTTTGTCTCACATACTATGTATACTTCAGGAAACAATGTGTTGCATCTAGAGGTTGGAAAAAAAATTGTTTGATGTAAAAATCGAGATCCGCATCTTCTGACATTTCTAAATTGATTCATAACTTCCAAAAATCTTCTTCTTTTTTTTTTGTCTAATCAGTCACTCCCTGCTAGGTGCTAAGGCTAGCTCTTTAACTCAGTAGGATGCCAAATGGAGAAGCAAGAGATTCAGCCAGTCTCACAGATGACTGGAGTAGATCCTGAAGTATGTACTAATTCAAAAATAGACTTTGAATCATGAATCCAGAATCGTTTTGAATCAAAAATAGATTCTGAATCGAATCGTGACCCCAAGGTTCAAAATCGAATCGAATCGTGAGACACCCAAAGATTCCTAGCCCTAGTTGCATCAATTAAAAATATTAACAGTTTGTTTTTTGTAGGATATCTGGAATAACAATTATGATGTTTGTGGATTTGTCCCCCTCCCCCCCACCCCATTGTACTGAAGTGATGGCAGAACTCATTCAATTTATAACCTAAAAGTTTCTGCATCATTAGTTCCCCCGTGAAATAAGAGAGAAAACTGTTGTTTTGCATCCACTTAAGTGGAAAGCTTTATAATCAAGCTGGCCACCTCTCCTCTCCACCTACAGGATCAGGTTCCTTGAATAGCGTGTCTCACTAACAGCCAACTATGAATTTTCCTTCCCTCTCTTTAGAAGCTGTCAAAGTGGGACCTTTATGGCTGCATAAGGTTGAACTGAAAAAAGACTCAATATTCCTTCAAATCTTCCTGAAATCTCGGAGCAACCAGAGCTGAGAGAAAGAACATCTCAATCATTTGGATCGACATTTACAAGAGGCTTCATTATTCAAATCTATCAGACAGGAGAGAACCATCAGTGTGGATGGAAACTACTACCACGTTGCACGTCCCTACAAAGCAGTGTATAAACTGATCTATCGACTGTCACACAGGTTTTCCATGCATTCTCCTCTCCTAAGCAAATTTCTAGCGGTGTGACGTTAACCCGCTGGAGGCTATCAGTGTGATTTACAGCACAGTAGCTCCTCTCATTCTCCCCTCCACCCCTAACTCCCTCTCTCGCTGCTTTCTCTCCCTTCGCTTCCCCCTGCACTCCATCGCTCTGCCAATGAGCCGTAGATGTCCACTTCTAAATTTGTCTGAACGCCAGACAGAGAACTCTACACTCCTCCCCTCCATGACCTGAGGAGTTCAGTCGTTAAAAAAAAAAAAGTCAATACTAAAAAAACACATTTTAATGATTTATGAGGTAGATCACTTTCAAATAAAAGTGCTTAAAAACCTGCGCTCAGTTTGAAATTAGAAACTTTAACTGTATGTGTATTTTCCATTATGACCCTTCACTATGTTTCTCCCCATTCTGTGGATTAAATAAGAAGCCTTCTTACTTTTCACTTTAAACAGTTCAGCTTTTCTCCACAGTGCAGATGAAAGTGCTCGTGAAATCAGAGTGTATAGGGTGTTTATCGTTATGAGTTACGCCTCCCAAATGATTTACATCTTTGCTTCAAAGATGGTAAATGTATTTGAAACAGATGATATGTTATATGGGAGATGAATGATAGCAACTACATTTTGGTTGTGATCACGTACAGTAATCCTGCGACAACCATTCAAACTCCCCCATAAGATATCATGAATATTAAGTAAGGACAAATACAAGGCAAACTTTAATCCTATTTCACCAGGAAATATGAGATTAAGGTGTTAGCCTTCTGCTTTCACTCTTCCATTGGACACTGACACGGAGAACTTCAGCAACACAATAATTCATGTACAGCATATACGCACATAAAAACATCCTGCAAAGTATGCTGACAGAAATCACTGGAGATAGGTGGATGAACACAAAAATTCAATGATCGGTTTGAAAATATGTTGTGTTAAATGTTATCGAGTCATTTTAAAAAGAAAAATCCAAATTCTTCACTTCAACTTCCAGAAACGGACACTCCCTCAAACTGCATGTAATCCAACCTGTAACGAGGTCTGCTGCACAGGAAGGATGCCATTATAAGTTGGGTACCATTACAGCATGACAAAATATGTTAGATATGTTAAATGTGGTGGATTGCCTGGTTTAAAAATACAATAAAACTAATTTTTTCAATTTCTCTGCAGGAATATCTGATTTTATGTTTCATTTTAAGCAGCTGTGTAATTATTACTTCTATTTAATAAGGTTGTGTGGCTGGCACAGCCTCTGGTTAAGGCCTCTGTACCTTAATAGAACAACAGATTATGTCTCAGTAAAATATTCACGTTCATAATCCTCTTCTGTTTGAAATACTTTTGATTTAAATTGGTCTGTTTAAGGGAAATCCAGGACTTAAAACCCATCAGAAGGGGTCCCTGTGAAACAGGATCCACCAGCAGGCTGGGTGACTTGTTCCCTGAACTGCTGACTGGAGAGGGTCATTAACTTCCCTATTCATAGGGGGCCTTCCACAGGGCCCGCAGATCAGGCAAATACCCTCAATGTACAGGATTCAATGAAATCCCTGGCTTGACGTTTGTGTTTTTGTATTCTTATTAAGGCTTGAAATGGTAAAAAAACAAAACAAAGAAAAACAAAGTGACAAACTTTCTTTCACTGTACAATATTTATATAACAGAGTGATGAACATGTCCACTTACCTCGTCAATAACCTCCTCCTCCTCCTCATATTCCTCATACTCCTGACCAGTATCCGCCATTTTGACAGTCTTACAGGTTCTACACAAAACAGAGATGACAACTTTAGGGCATTCATCACTCAACACCTGGATGTTAAACGTTTTCTCTCATTTCAAGGCTTACAACATGTAAACCTCCTTCATTCAGATGTTCTATCCATAGCACCTAGCTCATCATTTTAACCAGCCGTTATCAAAGCTTAAACTGGAAAGATAAAAAAGCTGCACCAGCAATCTTTTAGGATGCTGCCAGTCAGTCCCCATTGAGCACAATCACCCTATTTTAAAAAGGGAATTAAAAACAGCACACAACAGAAAAACAGAACACTAACATGTCGATGTTTAACCAATGCGCATGCCATACCAGCCAAAGATTGCCGCAGTATTTCCTGACAGTAAGGACTCCTCACTTGCCATCCACTGGGTCTCAAACTGATAGTCCAACTTTTGTGATTTTCCCCAATCCTGCACAAACTACTAACAATAATGTGACACAATTCACAAGGTGTTCAACAAGCGTAAATCAATAATGACACAAGGAGAATTGCAGACTAGGGGATGTGAAACACTGAGTGCATCCTTATGGGCCTATGCTGCCCCTCCTCCCTCACTTGCCACAACACAGTTCAAAGACCTGAGCCTCCAAGCTGAAGGTTGGCGACAGCTGCCCAACAGGGCTTCAGCTATTTGACATGTAAGCTAATGCCACAGCCTGATTGGTGGACTCTGTTTAGCAAACGGAGATGCAATGCCTTCTGAGGCTGCAGGTTAAATATAGGATGGCATACGAACTCCCTTTTTTTAGCACTTGATTGCCCTCTCTTTAGATTAAAACATACTTTTTGTTCTCTAAAACATGACAAATAGGTGTGAAAGATAAGATGGAAAGACCAAATAGGCCGAAAGGTGCTGAGATTGCGGAAAGAGGGCGAAAGGGTCAGACTTCTGCTGATGTTTCGGATACATCCAAAAGGCAGGCCAGCTCTCATCGTGCTTCAATCTTGCAGTTCTGGACCGTTATTTAAACTCCATCAAGGTGCAGCAGAGCTTTCCCTCTCCTTATTCCTCATTCAGCGGTCCTCCTGGATCCGTATGGCAGCAGTTTAAGAAATGATGGAAGTCCAAGCAGATGGAAAGCCATGCAGGTTGTAGAAAATAATGACATTGGTGCTTTATTATCCTTTTTTCTTTTTTTTTTTTGCTTACCAGTAATATTAAAGTTAAATGGTCTCCCAAGCCGCCAAAGTCTTCCCAGCTTCCCTCCAGAGAAACGCTGGGCGACAGCACACAGCTGCAGTTTGTACCCAGGTTATCATGTGGCCGGCGCAGCCAATCACAGACCGGTCCTCTCGAGTTTCAAATTCTAAATATACTTAAGTGATCCTCACAGAAAAGAGCACCTGTTGAGGCTAACACATCAGCGGTACAGTTATGAGGAAGGCAGTGGGCACTGGTGGAGTTGGGGGTCTGGAGAAGACAAGAGTTAACCCCAACTACCACACTGTGTGTGTGTGTGTGTGTGTGTGGAGGGGTGTGTGATTGTTGTGATATTGATAAATATCACAACAACAGTTGTTTATAAAAGGTTTGAAAAGGTCACAGATGGGTTAGGATATGAGTATGAGCCTGTGATGAGAAGTCTCTAGCTGACAGCCTGGCAGGACTGTGAGTGCCAGATCTGTTGAGGTCATCTGTTAGCTGACCCTGAGCTCGCTAGGTCACGTCAAGAATCAGGTCAACATTAGACTGAAGACCTGCGAGACAGAAAAATAACAAACAAGCAAATGCTCCGACAAATACGAACCACATAAGAATAGTTATAGGTACGTCAAATGTAAGTTTATCTGGTTAATCGCAGACGCCATTTTGGATTAAGACAAAGCCCGTAAACACATAATGAGTCACCCTGCATAAGCCCTGACATTTGCCTTGGAATTAAGGTCGAGGACATTTGACATGATAACATTTTAGACAACTGAGGGCAGATCAATAACAATCGTACACGCATCCATAAGGTTTTTTAACCTTACAGTGGTCAACCAATTTAAAATTTATTTTTGAACCCTTAAACCACAACCTGCAGGTCATACAGCAAATATATTCTCTACCTGTAAGGAAATGGGCTTGATTCAATCTAAATCCATTATTTTTAATGTAATAAAACTATGTCAAAGAGTCTGTGAGCTTTTCTGTGTACGGCCTCTTTGAACGGTCCTTTAAGGTGTTCTCTATTTGTAAACTCTTTGTTGTTGTTTTTTGTGAGTACATGTTTAAGGGCTGCGGATAAAATATAGCTATTGTACCAATTCCAGCACAGTTACATAAAGGCATCTTGCTTATATGTTGATTAATTAACACTATGCTAATGCATTTAATTCAATGAAGAAAATAAACATTCTAGCAGGATAAATAGCCGATACCCAGAGCACAAAAAGCAAATGTTTAAATGTAGGAAATGAGGTAAACTGCAAGTTTCACACAATCCATGAGTAAAAAAAGACTTTGAGATTTAAAAATACAGGAACTATTTCTAGACTGCGTGGGTTGGACTTTTGAGGTCCAGCTGCAGATGTGATATAGGCCTACTTTAATTTATGAATACAGTTGTGGAAAATGGTGTTATACATGTTTATAGAATTTTAGATAAACAATTTTTAGATGATGTGCCTCTATCTCTTTGGTATGTCATATCTTTGCTCTCACTCGTTTTGCCAGCAGCAGGGTGCTGCCCAGGGACCCAGATGGACAGCAGCAGCTGAGCGTCCCTCTCCCTATCTCTCTCTCTCTCTCTCTCTCTCTCTTGGGAGAGTGGTAATGGCTCTCAACTCTGTGATGCACTGGATGACTTGCTGCTCCGGCCTCATTAGCAACATCACAAGTCTTCATGAAATCTGCAGAAACTGAAGAAGTAAAGATGTTTTGAAGCCATGAAACTAATGAACAAATATATCGTTTTAAAGTGAACTAATGTTAACACAGTCACTGACCTTAATGTACACAGAGACACATTCAATGCCCAACATTGAGGTTCCATATTTATTTTTTTAAATATTGTTATCCTTTATAGAGTTGTTATCCTCCCGCAATGCCCAATTTACCTTCGATAATCAGACTTTTTAGGAGAAATAGTCTCTTTAAAGATGTTGCTGGCTTATTGGTAAGTAGATTTGCTGGAGTAAAAATATGTCGTTTTACACATTTTGTCATTTTAAAAGCAACAAATGAAATTGCATTGACTTCTGTTGTTCTAAAGAGAGTGCCCTGGAGTTTTTTGTTATTTTTCAACTGTTTGTATCCAAATCCAGAGATCACCTCGAACCTACACTTTTTGTTTAGTCCAGGAAGCGCTCCTTCTAAGACCCCCCAACCTTCATTTATTTGTATTTTTTGCATTTACTTCTATTCCATTGAACCCTAACCCTAAACTCTAAACCTCGGCATTTAAACCAAGAAGAGCTACGCACAGTTCAATGAACCCTTCAAACCTTTTGTCGAGTATTAGGTTATACGATTTTATACAGCTTTGAAAACATTCGGTGCATTACGTTTCAACTTCAGACAGGGTATCACAGTCTTTTAATGATTCTAGCAGTCAAAAGAATGACTTCCTAAAGCCAAGGACACCCAACAAGGGGGGGGGGGGTGCAGGACTACATGATGCTTAGTCACTGGAAAAAAGTGACTGATGACCACTGACACCAGAACACAACAGCTGCAGGATGGACAACCAAAACATAAACACTGCCAACAGTCAATCCTTGCACATCAACACATAGGGATGAAAGAAACAAAGGTTCTAGTGAGGTAAGACACTCAGAATAAAAACAGTCAGGCAGTGATAGAATGACTTTGCAAATGTAAAAAGATTTCCAGACTAATGCAAACATCTGGACTGATCTTTAAAGCTCTATTAAGAAGAAGCAAGTGATGTCTCGGTTTAGTTTATCTTTTAGGTTTGGACTGATTTATTTATTTATTCTCACCGTGGTATCACTTCTGGAATCAGGAAGATATATTTAATAGCTCTACTGTAGTCAGGCTTTCATTGTTCTCAACATAAGGTAGACCAGTGCAAACAGTATGTCGGTCAACTATCCAGTCAGACCTTTAGAGTGATTATAGTGTCTGACACAATCATTGACTCACTACTCCAAATAAACTGGAACACAGAACCCTCCTGTCCTAAACGAGGGGGCTATAAAAAGTATTTCAACTCATTATTACAAACATATGTTCACAGTATTTCTTGACTTTTCATAGTTCCAGGAACTCTTGAGCCGTTTTGTATTGATGCCACACCGCAGGAACTATTTCAGTCCCTCAAACCTTTTTATCTCCTGATGGAGAGTACAAGAGAGACTTTGGAGTGATGCAAAGTGCACTGTGATTGGTTCATACGTCTGTTGATTGGTCCAACACTAGAGCTAATCCACTACCACCAATCGCCATTTTTAAATCCTGCTGTAAACTTTCGCAAAAATCAGTAAATAACAGTCGGTAAAAACTCTTAAAAATATAAATTAAAAAACACGGACAAATGGACCTACAACGATGTCTAGGTATTGTTGAGTGTTAATGCAAGGAGGAAATGCAGTCCTTTTAAGGTTCATATCAGCTGTCACCATTGACAGACAGAAAAAAAGTCCCCATGGTTTGGAGTTCTGAGGTAACTCCCTAGTGGAGAGTTCCTCTTCAAAAAGTCCCCAAAAATGTTTGGTCCGAAAACACCTATTGATGGCCGACTTACCAGCTACAATACCTGAAATGTTGGCAAAAAAACATCTGAAGTTGAACACCTTCAACAAATACATTCCTGACGCTATCCGAGGTGTATATTTTACTGTTTAATAATCTTGTTTCTTAAAGTCTTGCCCTTAAATTGTCTAACCATTGACGTTTTTGTGTTCACTGTTCTTGTGGTGAAGCACTTTGTTGTGATATGTGCTTTATAAAATCAGGCCCATTGTCATAAAACAGTTTCATAACAAATTGGGATGTTGTATACATTGTCAATAAAAACA